CGCAAACTCACTTGCGTGGCTAGCAATTTTATAACTGATTTCAGAAGTGTCCCAAAATATGTTGGTTTTTAATGCCATTTTCAAAACCATAAGACTCAGTAACGCATGACTACAATATGGATCTGAAGTTGTTAATAGAAGGTTATTACCCCTAGTTTATGAAAAACCTACATAGTCGTTAAATGCTTAGCCTGGTCATATTTTACCCGGGTTTTGGGATTCTCACTCCAGGGACACCCTGTAGACAATGATTTCAAACCCGTCCTTGTTTTCTTTTTGCCATGGTAAGGAACTTTCTACCCTGAGCAGGAGCACCCCCTCAGCAATGAAGAGCAATGTTGGTCGGGCGTGTTCATAGTGATGCGAACGCATTGTTTGCGCTTCATAGTCGTTCGCGAACCAGCGAAACACAGTTACTACCAAAGAGTCCTCCGTTGCTAGGAAACTTAGGCCATATATACTCGTGGCCTACCTCAAGGCCCATTGTCAATGCTTTAAAATGATGCCACGTTTCTTCGTTTCCAAAAACTCTGTCAGGTCCAACGAAAAACAGCTTAATTTAAAAAAAAAGCCAAAAAGAGCTACGGCAATTTCGAAGACATCACCAGTAGATAATCACTATAACTAACCTATGCGAAAACGTGCCGGGGATACTGAGCAAAAATCCATCAGTGGTTGAAAAGAACTGGATCAAATTGACTCTCCTGAAATCATACATCACACGTCAAGTTGTTCACAAGTTATGTTGCCGACACTTCAGCCTTTTCTTGGAAAGTTTGACCTACCAATGTCCCTGCCGTACATGTTGTACCAAAAGCTGAAGCATTGTACAGGTTGCTGTAATGCGTCATAGCTGATAACAGGACTCAAAAGCACAGCGTTGTTATTCTGATGAGAAGGTAAATCGGCGATATAGAAGTAGTAGTAAGAGCCACTGTAATCTGAAATAAAGACGTGCAATGAATACATTGTTATTTCTCTTAAACCGGTTGAAATGAACTTCTCACGTAGTGAACTACTACCATGGAGACACCTGTTTGGAAGGGTCTTCATATCTCTAATGTTGAGCATTGTTTATGTCTGAGATCCTTAAATACTCTTTGGTCAGTCCACTTTGTGTAACATTTTAATAAATTCGGACTTGGCAAGATTTCTTGTAGGCCAGAACGCAGCCAGTGAGGGTCAGTCAGGTCTGGCAGTGGTCCACCTACAGCAAAACAGCTAGTCCATTACTGATGCCAGAATAATAGAATACATGAGACAAAATAAACTTAGAAAACATAAAAGGAATGGAAAACATAATGGACATACAACGTATGGTTATAATATATGCAGATTTCAAGCATAATATAACAAACACATACTCCTGAAAAGCCTGGTCTGAATGAAGTTAAACCATTCAATAATGTTTTAATTATTAGTATCTATGCGTACTACATCCGACTTTCCCGACTTTCTGCGCCCATATTACAAGAGTGGTGATAAAGCGTCTCCATCTGACTGGTTACTGTCAGTAAGTATTTGGCAATGCTGACTGTCCCTCTCTACTTCGATCGGTACATGAAATCTAGGCTTAATATTAGAGAAACCAACTGCTTTAAGTGGGTTAATCTTCATAACCCATTAATACATTCTCGTTCTCCAACCAAAAAAATTACCAAACAAGCGAATACGACCAAGGACACTTAGAAACGATAATGGATGTTAAAGGTTCGTAAATTATTTTTTTTACATAACTTTAAAAGACGTTTCTTCAATTTACTTGGTTTCCGCCATGAACGTTTCTTCAGGTGGCTTCCGGTAGTAATTACAAAACATTACAGGCAACCTGATGCAAATCCTCTTACGAGGTCTCTTAACGGTCACCGCTACGCGACCTTTACTCCTATAGGCTCTGTTATGCAAACATGTCCTTATTCTTACGATACTTCAGTATACCTTGAAACAAATCCGATCCATTTTTTAGCTGTTGGGTGGACATTGCAACATGCCTTGCTATAGAGGAACTTCCAGTAACTGGCAAACGTACAATGCTGCCTTTTATTGTGTAAGGAATGCCCTGGTGTATTTTAAAGATACTTGACTCATGATGACTCCCTAATTCAGAACAAACCAAGGACTTTTAAAGGGGGCCTTTTAAATGTCTGTCTGAGCTGTTTTCTTTCTTTGTTGCAATCAAATTAATGCTTGGGACACAAAATGTTTTTATGTTTATTGAAGCATTTTAATGCTTGCCAAGTGAAAAGGGGGAGAACAGGTATCAAAGGTCAAGAGGTAAGAAAACTCAACATAATGTACCAGGAAATATCATCTTTGGTGTTATGTTTTGATTTAGTTGACTCTCTGATGGGGAGGCGACATCCCACAGTGCCGAAAGGATGGCTTTATGGTATCCAGTTTTTAACCGCCGTAAAGCTGTCATAAATTCAGCTAAGAAACAGCGCCACGTGTAAAGGGGATAATGGTCAATTTTACTGGTAAGTTTTATAATTATGCGCGCATGCACACAAATGACCCTAGCGGGTAAAAGCGTGTGCTATACAGGAATGCAAACGTCAGGATCATTTTTTCAATTTACACCCCAGTTTAGTCAACTTTGTCTTCAGGAAAAAGGTCCTGGTGCCCTATATCTTCGTGGCTGTAACTTTCTGGTCTACGCAGCTCTGTGATGTATGAAACAAAGCATCAAAAATGCGCACTTGTAAATCACATTAGCTCTATGTACTTTGTGGTTGTGACACAAAGATTCTTTAAAGTATAAACATTCAGAACAGAATGCGTTTGTTAGGATACTTCTAATATGACGATAAAACATTTGAGTTTTTTTTTTCATTTTCCGAGACACTAACTATAATCACACTCACCACCTATGGTATGGTCAAATGCAGGACCGGTATAGGAAGTTGGCGTGGAACCCCGATGACGAGTCCAGTCTGCATTATCGTCACTTGACTGCACCCAGCCACAAAGACCGTTTTCAAACGAGCAACTAAAACCAGAGCCCCCTTACGTAGAACAAGAGTACAATCTTTCTTGTGAAACAGAAAATGCGATGTTAGTAATTTCATGTGTTCAAAGTCAGTTCATCACATTCCGCACCTTCACACCTATCAAATATCAGATGTCGTTTTCCTTGTAATGATCTTCACCACACTACAGTTAATTCTTTCCATAAAAGCAGACGTACCTGTGATTGTCACATCGTCGATGGCAATGAGTCCCCGTCTATACCAGTATGAAGATTGCCTGGTAGCCTCAAAGGCTATCCTAAACCTGGAGGCTACATCGGTGATGTAGATCTCCCCTTCAAGCCACTCACTACTTGACGTTTGTTGCCCACGCCGGCTGAAGATCACCCGTCCCTCACTCAGTCGACCGTTAACTGGTGTCTTGTACACATTCAGTCGACCTGAATGTGATTTTAAACATTCAAACAAGATTTATTTTTTACTTGCACAGATCAATAACTGACAAAACCTTTTTTAGGCTGTGTCTGAATTTCCGGGTAATGACGGACCAAAAATAAGCACCCGCTAGGGAAAAATAGTTACAGGTGCCTGCGAATGATTGTCATCATAGTTGATTATGTTTCTCCAGCCGTATTTTAGCTACCCAATACGCACCTATATCGCTGCCGTGCATGTTGTACCAAAAGCTAAACCGCCATCTAAATTGCCGTACATCTGTGGCTTCGACGATGGGACTCAGTAATACCGCGTTGGAAGACGAGTATGATCCTCCGTAGGAGTAGCAGTAATAGTTGGTCGATGCTGTAGACGGAAAAATAACACTGCAGCGTAGGTATTCGCAAACATCCCCAAAAGGAGCAAAAGACCAGTGAACTGCATTTAGTGAACTTGTACGAAACTCACAGCTTGAACTCTTTTTGAGTTGAACTACATCCAGTTTAGTTTTATCGGAAATGGATGGTATCTTTTTTTCTGTATATTATATTCAAATTGAAGAGGTTGAAGGGTCAATGCAATGTGATTTTCAAAAGGATATTCTTGAAAATACAACTTTAAGCACAATGTAAGAATATCTTAGGGTTTCGTTTCGCCATTTCAAAGGGTATGTAGGAGAACGTTTATTGTCTTATTACTAACACAAATTAGACACACTTTATATATTACGCAAGCGTGTGGTGCCGTGCAAGGAAAACACCAGAATATTGCAATTATTTGCAGCACCAAAATTTGCCACGATTTGGATATGTGACTTTTGAAATATTCTCCTTTGGGATGTTTTCTTATTTAATTTGATGGGAGTAGTAGCTTTCTCAAATCAATGTTGTAAAGTGAGCAAAGGGTTCATAGTTTGAGCAAAAAAATAATATTCTTACAATAAACAATAATCTTCTGTATATGAAATGCCACCATATAGCAACAGGTCCCCATTTGTTAGGAAAATCATGGAAGAATCTTTTGTTGTTTTTTAAAGACTAACGCTAGTAACCAAACACAGCCGTCAAATATTTTTCCTAAAATTCAGATGAGTGGGAGCTACACTGTACATTTTAATTTTATTGCATAGACGTTTTAACCATCTGAAATATTAGTAATTTACCGAAGTTAATTGGTATATTTTGATTTTCCAAATTTTATTTGAGGGTATTTTTAGTTTCACACTAAACGTAGGCTTTGGAGCTATTTCGCTTTATTGTTCACTTTCTTTACGATTTATTTCGCACTAATAAATAATGACTGTAAGTTCTTAAAATTCCAAAACAACTTCCCCATAAAGAGTGGTAGAATTTAACCATGCCTGCCAAAACATGATGATATCTAAGCATGGGGTGTGGGATTCGTTTCGTAACCCAAAGCTGCTACTTCAAACTCAGAGAAAAAATCACCACTCTCTGTTTGAAAATAAGTATTTATTCAGGGAGAGAAATCGTAACTATGGATAAGTCCCAAAACAATGTAACCCTCGGTTGCCCACTTCCAGCGGCATCGCATTGGACTAATTCTTGAATACTCACAGCCAGGAGTTTTGTCCGACAGGATACCAGTGGAATCCCATGAGCTGCTCCCAGACTGTCGTATCCAGGAGCCTGAATCGTCCCAAGATTGCTCCCAACCACACATGCCATGTTCAAATGTGCAGTCAAAACCCAGGCTTGCTGTAATAAACAATACAAATGCGTTGAGTGTGTTTTTCACAGATTCGAGAACAATAGGTAGGTTAAGATGGTGCTCAGGCTGTATGTGTATAAATCAGTATTGCGTAAATTTGATGAAATGTTTATTTTTTGAACTTGAAAAGTAGAGTCGATCCGTAATTTGTTCAATGACCGTGTTTGCGCATAAGATGATTAAAATTTTTTAAGAATGTTTGACGGAAGTTTTAACCTTGCATGGTATACCAGGCAAGGTATGGGACGGAGGGGTACCCCCCCTTACCTGTCCAATCCTGAAACACACTCTAGACATTTGCTACTTAACGCGTCCCCCTAGAAGTCTGTAAAGAATTCCTGAGATTCCGATCAAACAATGACCAACACAAAGGCAGGGGGTTCTCTCCGTCTCATGTCGTGCTTCAAATGCTGCATGGAACATGATAACCCGGAGTGAGGGGCCGGGGAAACTGCCTGTCCCAACTCCAACCCAGCCGCGTATGATAAAACTATGTTAGTTGTTTTGAGTCAATAAATTAACAGCGAATACGGATGTAGCCTTTATTCCTTTTTTCCACGTCAGCGTCTCTTATTTCCATCCCATTGATCCATCCCATTCCTGATCTTGTGAGTTTAGTTCTCCCTTTTGATTAGGAATCGTATCTCCCTTTGCAGTTTGCTGGTTCCTAGACTCCCTAATATCGCTCTGACCCCGTTACACTATTGAAAATCAGGTCAACTTATTCCAACTCGAAGTCGAAGGAGGCAAAAATGTGTGCAGGACCACCATTGCTTCAATTATAAAAGAACAGTGCTTTAAAGGGGAGAAGAAACAACCAGAAACGAGATGTGTTTGTGGACAAACACAGAGCTGTTTCGGAGTTTTTCATTTTTCAGCTTTATCCTTTTTGTAAGGGAAAGTTTCCTCTGATTTGTATGAAATTTTCACAGTAATCCTCAGGCGAACCATCGATAAGATGTATAAAATTGCGAAGTAAAAAAAAAACGAAGTCTTTTTTCCGTAGGTTTTGAAGACACATTTAATCTCGTATCACGTGACCCCTGACGATGTCACAATGACGAGTTTAGTTTGGCAGCCCCACAGGTTGATGGACTATGTATGCTCGCAATACAAAGTCACTCAGATGTATGAATGCACCAGTCTTTCACTTCAGAAAAACGTGCACAAAACCTATGGAGAAAACTTCAGCTTTAAAGTCATGTCACGTAATTTGCGTTTATATTGAAAGAAATTATGAAATATTATTTAATATTTGAACTCTTGGGTATTTTAGTAACCAAACAAAAACGAAAACAAGGATTTCTCTTTCGTTCTCATAGTAATCCTCAGCCGAAGTTCAGGACGAATCTCACTAAGATCGATAATATTGCGTAGTAGAAAAACTTGTACAAAACCTAAGGAGGAAATTGAGTATTGAAAATTCAAAATTAAATCACGTGATGACGTAACCATGACGTCATTATTTTGGTATCTTCTTAGCCTTAGGGTAGTTTTATTGTAACTTTGATGAAGATCTGAGATTGTTAAGTGACGAAATTTGGTGCCTCGAATCTGTGTACAAAGTCTACGGAAAAAAGTTAAATATTAAAAAATCAATAATATAAAAAGTCAATTCAAAATTTCTTCTAGAAACGTCGTTCTTGGATAATGTTTTAGCATTGTGCCAAGTTTCAAGTCGATCGGATTTATTATGATACCAAAGTCGATTGGCTGAAGAAATAATCTGAAAAGGGAAAAAAAAGGGGGAGAAAAACAACTTTAACGAAAACAAGAGCGGTTTCGGCAAGAATACCGAAACAGCTAAAAAATTGTTCCAAAAAACCTCAGAAACCTATCCCGCCAGCAAATGGGGCCAAGAAGACGTGAAACACGAGAATCGACGCTGTTGATATCCAGGGGCCTGGCAAGGCCCAGGGCTTCAAAATTCAAACTATTGTTTCCCCAAACTGGTTTCATGTATTATGGACTGCGTTCGGTCACGTCGGGGACAGGAAATGTTTTGTGTGCAGGCACTCATGACTTGCTAACAGAAATAGCCATGGGAATGCGGAAATTGTTGCTGTGGAGGCGAGCAGGTTTTTTTAATGCTTGCGTATTTTGATAACACGCCTCGAACTGTGGAAATCCCCCATTGGTGACCTTTGCTAGCAAACTCAGTATCGTAGCTAGGCTCTTCTAAGGAGGAGAGGGGCCAATAGTTTCCCTGTGGCAGTCCCCACCCCCGGCTACGCTATGTATCAATTCTGCTTTTAAAGAAACGGAAGTCCAACGAGGCCCGTTTGGACAATACTCACTGGACATCATCCACCGATGGTCACACAGATAGCGCCATCCTTTGAGGATCAATTCACAAAATCCAAGCAAAATGTAAACGGACCTTACTCACAGAGAAGCCAATGTTTGATCTTGTTCCCGGAATCTTTCATATTTAATGTAATTTGTATGGGGGATGCCAGACTGTATGAGGTACAAGCCTAACTGTCAGAGGGTGTTATGTTGCTGAAATCATTTAGGTTTACTTGGGTTATGAGTTTTAAATTATTCTTGTCGTACACTGGCATTAATTTGTAATAACCTATTATTTTATTGCTGATATCTCCACATCCGGTTTCCCCAAATGAAAGCTCGTTTTATTTCAGAATGGCCAACACCTGCATACATTCTACTGTATCTCTCTTTTTGTCATGGTTTAGGTTTTCGTGTCTCCTCTTGTGCATCTACAAACCCAGAGCACGTGGTCCGTTGCATTGACCTTCTGTATAAGGCGTTTTCTCTGCATGCACAGCTTACCCTGTGTATATCCTCATGTTAAGTTGGAACCGACATTAGGCAATTTATGCAGAGGATGTGTGATGACAATGTCAATTGACAACGACCAATGGGAAACTACCTCATATAATTGGCAATACAAATAAAAGTGGGAAAAACTTAGCAGCACAGTTGTCTGTGTTAAACCGTGGTTTCAAAGAATTCGGTCCTTTTGACAAGCAGACAATTTCATGATATCCTGATTGACGCATTTACCGCAAACTATAGCACATTTAAAATAAAACATTAACATTATGCAGTACGTGAGAGCTATGAGTGTATGTTTGAATGCTGAATAATTACCACTGCTAATTAAAGAGCTGTTCCTTCACGCAAGCAAAAGCAAATGGTCTAAATATAAACAAACTCAAAGTTGTTGTCATGATAATTCCAGTGGAAGATAATTGATAAAACCCTCATTGTGATGTTATGCATGGTTAGCATTAAAAGAAATGTCAAAATGACGAAGTATTTATTCTGTCTATGTATATATTTTATGTATGTATAATAATTTTCACCTCATAAAACTACTTGCTCAACATCTAGGGCACAGTTGTTACCTTTTTCCTTCATTTAAGGATTACTTTGAAAAAATAAAAGTCATCTTTCTGGAGACAAACTCAGAGAGATTAAAAATCATGTCAAAATATACGACCAGGCCTCGTCTAGGTCCCGTTTATGATATGTCCTTACCTCTTACGAACAACGACAGTCCAAGCATGAGACCGTACGTCAGACTGATGCATGCCATTTTCTATGGCTAGGTTTCCTCTTCTTGCAAAGTTTTTGGCCTTTCTGGGATTCCCTGCTTCTGCTTCAAATGACCGAAGTAACCTCCTAGTAAGCGGAACTCCCAAATTGAGAGGCAATATCCCGTGTCCAAGTCCGTATTCCTGCTCTCAATGTCTGCCTTTCAAAATGTCCACAAAATGTCGGAGAAGTTTATTCTCGACTGAGGTATGATCAGCTAGCTTCAGCTGGCCTCGCTGGTGTACCTTTACGTCTTCATCGACAAGTCGTGTCACTTTTGTCGCTCAGTTTTGTATTAAAAGGCCACTTTCCAAACCCTGGAGATTTCACAATGCCAATTTTCTCCTGATAGGGAAATTTAACCATGGAAATCCAGAGTTAAAACACTTGGACCATGCTGACCTGGTTTGATCTTTTATGATTGAATTGCGAGGCACTATGTTTTTCTTCCACAGTCGCACGCGGTCACTCAAGGGTAGTCGCGACATATCAAGAAGGTAGAGTGGGGTTTTTGTCGTTCTGAAAACATCAAACAAAAACCAGTAACTAAAAAGTGAAAAATAAAACAAAAAGACCAGAGGAGTTCAGTCCCTGGTGTGTTAAAAGTCTTTTTCTTACCTTTACTCTCGCAAACAGTCTTTGAGCATTATAGTTACTTGCATCACTTTCAAAGAGGAATCCAGCAGTGTGGACACTCGTTCGGGTTCACTGCCAAATCGCCACGGGTGTCCATGTTGCGTGCTCCGGGGAATTGCCCAGCCTGTGAAATCATTTTGCCTGATTTTCCTGCAACCTGACCGGGTCATGATGATTTCCTCCCATTCAACTCCGTACAGTCCCAAAATAAACTAGATCAGGATATACCAGCTAGTGGTCAGTATGTCACTAAACAATAATTGCTGGCCACTTTTTGGTGATTCCCCAACGTCCACAGATCTTAAATGGAGGCCGACAGTGCCTATCGAAATCCACGCGTGGGTATCGTATGTTTTCATGATAGAATTTTCTAGGCGGAAGTCGTTAAATATCATGCACACAATCAATGGAGCGATTTCTAAGCAGCAATGTCGGAGGTTTCGAATGAAAAAGCATGGACCATGACTATACAAAGTACTGTGAAGATTTTATCGTATTGCTGCGCAGTTGTGTTTATGGTCGTTACCATAGTCAAAGTTATGAACAAAGTCTACGGTTGTCTGAATCGGTTGCACACCTTCAGAACCTTTCAATAAATACGCGGGATTAATTTGATTTTAAGGTGGACGTTTTATAGTAAACAAACACTATAAGGGTGAACAAAGAGATTGAATGCAGCGGGATTTGAACCTGCGGCCTCCGGAAAACCTTATCGGTGCTCTAACGACACTGCGAACATCTAACAAAAGAAACACAGTGCACAATGAACGTGCTGTGCTTCTTTTGGTATTTGTTAATGGTGCGAGCTATCCAGCCCTGTGTTGGTGGCTCTCCCATTTTATATATATCTTTGTGGGGGGGAGGCGCTAGCCAGAAGCCATTAGAACTGAAACACCATGTAGCCAGGGATCACGTCCAAATAACACTGTACAACCTGGGAAGTGGTGAAGAGGGATTTCTCGGAGAGGATTCGGCTTTTTGAACATAAACTATGAAACAAATTATACGGGGAAACTGACTAGGTGGAATACTGTAACGGTGCTCTACCGACTGAGCTATCCAGCCCTATGTTGGTGGCTGTTTCCGTTTACTAATATCTTTGTTCGGGGGCACAAGCCAGAAGCCTGTATTCCGGAAGCTGCAGGTTCAAATCTCGCTCCAGTCAATATCTTTGTGCACCTTTATCATCATTTATAAGCACCTTGTCAGTTTCCTTATATTATTTATTTCAGGATTTAAATACTAGTCTTCACTCATAGGTTCAACTTCCTGTTTTATTTTAAGATTATATGCTTATTTTGGCAACGTTTTTGAAAGGGTCCTTGGTACCTTTCAGATGAATTCTAAAATACTTCTCGAATCACATTCTTTTTTAACTTTTAAAACGGTCGTTCATCAACAATAAATGGCCCGTAGATGTGAGTTATAGAAGTTTGTGAGGGCTTTCCAAAACGGAATCCGTTCCTGAAATTACTGTCTTGCGCCTGCTGTTGTCGGTCAATAGATATATTGTGTCTGTACTTTGTATGTCAATATAATCAGGAAAACGTTTATTCAGAATCGGAAGCACGTATTATGGGTCTCCCAGCCTCCTCCTTTAATTAGGGAACGGACCCCGCCCCTTTAACTCCACAGTTACATCGCAACACAAGTATCACTAAATGGGCAGTAAAATTTAAATGGGGCATATTGTAGTGCAAAAAACCAGCAACAAATGTATTAGATAAGCAGTTGGAAAAACCAAGAAAAAGGAGATCTAAAACAAAACCAAAAAAATGAAATATGAAGGACTGCTGCGTGCCCCTCACCACAGATCTACTTCTACGTGATCGCATATTAACAGTTCAAGGGCCATGATGTAAAAGTCATAAGAATGTACTTCGTATCTAAAATCAGTTTTGTTGCTCAGTGACAAAGGCACCTTTTGAAAGATTTTTTTCCAATGTTTTTCCCGAGGATGCCTCTGCTGTGACTACAAAAAAACACTACCATTACAAGAAAACACTGTTAATTTTGAAAATGTTGTATTTAGGATTGAAACCAGAGACTGCTCACTGAAAACATCTCCGGGAAAAATAAACTGGTCTATTGCCAAGGACTTAAAAAAACAATGATTTATTGCTTTACGCCAGCAAAATATCCTAAATATTAGCAGAAACAGCATTAACACTTAACACACCTTTCCATATAAACGTATTTATAGTGCGTTGCGTACACGATGCAGTCATCATGCGATTCACTTTCACGGACACAAAAATCGTGTTCGGCTATCAGAATCGCCCCGGGGGCGATTTTGAAGGATACGCAACTCTTGGCGTAAGGTGTTGGCGTTTATGTGGACAGTTCTGTAAAACCCTTCACGTGGCACGACCAAATGAAACATTCAGATTCGTTTTAAGTATTTGTTTGACATACTTGTCTAAATCTTCCTTCAGGTCACTATCCTCTTTCCAAGAGTCGTTTCGAAAGTAACAACCGTCAGCACTAGGACCTGAGATCGTATCCTTCAGTTCCGCCATGATACCGATGACAGCTCCGGTATGTACTATCTAGTCCTGTGAATAGAATTGCTGCTACCCCTCGCCCTGATTGCGTGCTCTTCGTACATTTATCCGTCACCCCCCTGTGGGATACTGTGGCAATCATAGACTCAAAGTTCACTTTAATTTTAAACGTACATTAAAGTGTATTTAGAACAATATTAACTTTCTTTTAGAATTAAGATTGATCAGTATTACAAATGAGTAAATCAGGGAACATAAAAAGCGGGAAAAGTATGGCCAAGTTAAACCAGTGAGCGATCACAGAGGAAAAAATTAATTAAGCAGTAAATTTTAAAATATTGTTGAAAAATGGGACGGCAAAGAACGGCCACCGTAGTGATCAGTGCTTAATTTTAACATTTAAAATCATAAATCCTTTCACAACAACAGCTAGGAAAGACATTGCTCAATGAATTTCACAGATCAGGACAGGGTGGTGTGGTATTACACCTTGTTGTGGTGAGTCCGCCAGTGTTATTAGTACCGGATGTTCAAAAGGGAAACAGCTGACGCAAGAAATAATTAGTCAACCACACTTCGATTATATCAACAGAAATTATAATCAAGTCTTATTCACCCAAATCACACTATAAATGTAGAAAGTTGTACACAGACTTGACAGAGCAAGTCCCAACTGTTCCCTGTAATGGGTTCCTCTATAATAAAATCCTGGACGGAATAGTACATTCCTGTAGTAAGTAAAATCCCTGATAATAAAATCCTCTATACTATAACCTAATAAATGCCCGAGCCTAATAAATTCCCCGAGCGCCGATCCGAACCGCCCTCGCTTCACACCAGTGGCAGTGGACAAGTGGATTTCACACACAAATGAACATGTGATCACTACAATTTAGGCAGGATTTGGGCACAAAATATCTCAATTATGTGACGTCCAATTGGCTGTACAGCTCATCAGCAGTTGTACAGAGGGTGAATACACGCTCTTAACCACAAAAGTACGACAACTATGGCATTCATGGGAAATTAAACGCACAAATACACCCTTTTTAGAACGCCTGTCTCACCGTTCAGTGTCAGACATAAAGGGAGCGAGTGTCTGTCCGGCGTTTGGAAAAGACACATTGCATTATAATAGTCATGCACTATCATAATCTCAAAATGTCAACACATTGAAACGTCAAAACGTACACCCGATATTAATTATTGACAATTTCTGTAGGTCAATCAACTTTATATTGGTACATGCATGTAAAAGACAGATTAAAATGATGCTTTGTTATAATACATGTATAAGGATCTCCAAAAAGTAGAAGCTTGTATTCTTTCTAATGATACCTTGATGGTATCCCTCCTTTCATGCATGACTGAACACCATTGTCTTGAAAATGGGCATCCGAGCTCAGTTGAAACACTTTGGATAAACCAGTGAATGGGGTTGTCCTTTGTCATGCTTCCCCAAATTTATAATCCCATCTCCTTCATTCAAAAATCTGCCTCAGTTTGAGCTTAAATAGTGATAAAAATCGTCAGACGGTCAGACCTTTCTGTTCTTTTCAGAAAAGCAAAAATACCATAGGTCAAGACATTTGTTCTGCCGATTTTGTGAGTAAATGACGAGACAGTGACGACATGCTAGCTGACAACTAGTCTTGGGCCAAGACGGCAGAACTCGATAGCGGACCCGATCGAGCATATGCCGCGGGCGCCAATTTCTATGGTGGCCTCTCGTGACTTCATTTCACCAATTGACGGCTCGTTCTACCGTCCTGGGAATCTCCTACAACTGAGGCGTGGCCTTAGTAAGCAAAATAGTGGTTAATATGAATATTCACCATTGACCCTATGATGCGAAAGAGGACTCAAAACAAACCGTGAGAGTGTTGGAGCAGGTTTGCATGAATAGCGTCAGCTTGTAATTTCTTCAGTTTTGTTATGGGAAGTCTTTTACAGGCTTATTTCTTTGGTCCTTATTCCAATGCATCGTCCGTGGCCATTATCAAAGGTGACAGAGCTGGAACTTCAGTAGAACGTTCAGCGATCGTCTCTAGTGTTGATTGTACACGTACATTTTACGCGTAATAGGTCACGCGATGCAGGTCATTGATCCATATTCATCACATACAGGTTCAACTGGAGTTTTCTGGGCACCGACTGGCTCCTCCGGATATCTGGAGGAAAACTAAAGAAAAAAAAAATTTGTAGGAGATTACCAAGACGGTAAAACGAGCTGTCGATTGGTGAAATGAAGTCACGAGAGGGCGCAATGGAAATCAGCGCGTGGCATATTTTATGCTCGATTGAGTCTGCGCTATCAAGTTCAACCGTCATAGCCCAAGGCTTGCTGACATCAAGTACGTGTGTGTGCCTCCCTTCTACGTACATGTACATGTACAACGTGCAGCAAGTTCTACCATGCACTCTGTGCAGTTGTTGGTGTCTTGATTGCTCGAATGGCGCCCGTCCATTTTTGATATTGCGTGTGTTTGCGGAGTTCCCCAACTTGCGGCTCTTGGCGGTGCTGTCTGATTTTTGATTCAGATTGAGACAATAATGTGACGTGACAGAGGGCGCTAGTCACTAGGCACGGTGCAGAGTTATAGATGGCGCCCTGCCCAGTAACAGAGGCAGATGTTAGGCGCGCATAACTGTGTGTTAAGCAAGCGCAGCGCATAGGCTCCGCCTTGTGCGTTGTGCGATAGGGCAACGGAAGTCACAGCTTGGTTACGTGAGCGCGTGCGCGGGCATGGTCAGAGCAGCGCAAAAGCTGTAAAAGGCGCGCGTAGGCTAGGCCTAGTCGTCCTGATCAAGGGCTGATTCTGAGGTAAGGGTCGAGAATCCTGCGCACTAGTCACCAAGCCTAATGTGACTGTGCCTAAGTCCGAGTGGTGCGTGTGCTGTTGAGGGGCTCGGTAGGTTGAGGGGCTGATTGGTGGTGCGGTATAGTTCCTGATAGGAGCTTGCGGTCGATGCAAGGGCGGATTGCTATCTCGTGACGTGAGTTGCGCGTAGCGTAGCCTTGACAATAAGCTCCATAGACTTGCTAAAGTCCCTGATTCGGCACTGGATGCCCACAATTAATTGTGGTGTTCACTGCTCTGGGCGAAGTCAAGTCACGTATAATCACACAGTCTCCCGTCAATAGCGCCCTCTACTGGTGTATTGGTTGAGTGTGTTGATGAATAAACCAGCCGCTTGTTACTTGTTGTATATAATTCAGGTGTCCAGGCAAAGTTTATTTCAAGTCACGTCTGTCTGGGTTACGTCATTAAGTTTCGACCAATCAGATTAGCCATCATCTCGACGAAGATCAACTTTCTTGGGGGACGGTATACTTCGGTTCCAATGGACTCGTCCCTAGCCGCTCAGGGACTCTCCAGCGTGCCGTCCGACGCACCGCACCTCGAGGAGGAGGGCGCCCTTGCCTTCGTCAGAGGGGTGGAGCGTCACAATAATTATGTAATAAGAGTGTATCCGTGCAGAAAGAGCGTATGCAAAATCGATTAGATTTGCTGGCAACATTTTACACTCCAGCAGTAGACCCATCTGACTGGTTCACCATGAATCTCTGTTTGGTCGGCGTAAGACTGATTTTTGTTGGTCGGCTTAAGAACGGATCTTTACTTTAATAATTGGTCGTCTCATGGGGGAAATATTATGCACATCAATGTATCAAATGCATGCATTTTAGATGCAGCAGTAAGAGAGCGAGTTCACAACTGAGTCACGTTTGATTAGACAACGTAATTAGAAAATACTGTCTCCACGGGGGAGGTGACCATCGCTGATTTTTCCATCTGTGAAAATAATTTGATGTTACTTTGAATTCGATTTGTGGGTAGAATTTACTGTTAAATTAATGTCGACAGGGGCAGAACAGTTTTAAAATTCGTGGTCGGGTAACTGAAAAGTCCCAGCCTTTAGACTTCAGTGACGAAATGTGCCCTCCCCTCAGCGAATACCCAAGTCCCCCCCTTTGAAATCCATGCACCTATATTTCGCTGCAGCTTACTGTCTTTTGGCACCCCCTTAAAAATATGTGTGCGCCCCCGGGTCCCCCGACGTAATTGTTCTATTAAGTTACCGCCATTTGTACCAGGAACCTGTGCTCGGTCGCTATAAGGCCGATTTTTATTGGTCGTCTCAGGGGTCGAATTTCACATTTCTTGCGCAGAACAAAGGAAACAGCGGCCCTGTGGCCAAACAGCACCATTTCATCTCGTCTGACCATATAACTGATGACCAGAAACTTTGATCCTTGTCCGGGTGCCTCTGACTCAATGCGAGTCGAGCTTTTTGATGCCCACAAGTGACGGGGGGGGTCTTTCTTGGACGACGCCCATTTTCAACAACGCACACTTTCCTAACCAGACGAGGGGACACCTTCGGCTTCTGTCCACACTTGCCGATGTTTTAAACAGTACTGAACTTCTTGTACTTCTTGAGAATGCACGGTACAGTTGAAATTGGTACTCTGAAGAGTTTGGAAATGACTTCACAGTCTTTCCCATCTTTCCAAGGATGGATTAAACCGTGTTATGATACACATTGGGCTGGGGAAAAATCCAAAATTAATTTCCATTTTTATAGGCATTCACAATGCTCATGCAGAGATACTTACTGAGTTCTGAGGTCCTCACAACCGAGGAAGACTCCACAATTGCAATTGCATAAATTATCATGACAAATACCTACAGTACATTTTCCACTTTCCGGTATGCGTACACGACAGAGATAAGAAGATACATGTAAGCCTACGTGTAAGTCTGACCTGAAGTCACCCAATGTATGTACAATTCTTTGAACAATCTACAGATTTTGCAGTTTATCTGCTTTACGCACAAAACTATCATGGTCAAGGAACAGCAGCCAAACTTGGCTACCTTATCTCTGTCTAACCTGAGGCCCAATGTTGTATTGATTAGATTGACCATACGCCTACTAATTAAACTCGCTGTTTAACTCGATGTATCACACAAGACAGACATTTTTGCACCATTATAAATGTAACAAAAGAAATCTCCAAGTCTTCATACAAAAGATCCCAATGATCATTTATGTAAAATCCGTACTGGAGACTTATGTTAAATTCCTTAAAAAGCTGAACAATAAAATTCATGGATGGACAGACGGACGGACGGACGGAAGAGGTGACTGTCCCTCTGAAATTCTCCTCAGGAGACGTTTACATTTGGATGCCAGAGGAGTGTTTCCTTAGGGTGCAATGTGCATGAACAAAAAATGGGGCAAACAATCTGAATAGCGGAGTCCATGTGACAAAACAGCATGGCAGTCTTTTGTCAAACTTTGAAACACTTGGAATTTTAGACATTTATGATATCATTTATTACTCAGTGTCGCACAAACCGCTCCAGCTATGCCATGTGAGGTTGAACAATACAGTGCTAAGGACATGAATTTATTTACGATAGGACACAAACGAATCGGAACTTTATCTTTCTTAAAGAGACTTCCAGAGTTTTATGCTTGACTTTCTAAAAAACTTAATACAGGATTTTGACAATGTCGTCACAATTGTAAATATTATGTAGGTCATTTTTCTAAGGTGGTAAAGGTCATCAGAAAGCACAAATACATTCACTCGGGAAATGGTCGGTTCCTAGTTGTTAGACCATTGTGTCGTCCCTATTATGCAGCCTATGTGTGGTGTCGCCTATAAATTTAAGAGTCTGTTAAACCATCAGTCATTTACCCTTATATCTCAGTTTATTTCGGTCTGGCATACTCACATTGTCAAAAATGCGTTTACTCTAAAATATCTCTATACCCCGACATTAGTACCAACCTTCCTACCGACGATTACCTTTAACAAAAAAACCCAGAGAGTACTGCTAACAGGTATGGTACTGAATTTCTAATCGACCACACTTGTTAAAGTATATTTCGTATTTGCTCTAAAACTAAGGCTTCCGAAACATACATGGGAAATTATACAGATTATGTTTACTTGGCCGCATATGTAAGGCGGAGATGAATTCCATGCACCTTTAACGAGTAGCATTACGTCAGGGTAAACCATAAGTACCTTTAATTACACGAGTTGCTCAGCTAAATGCGTAGTAGCCATCAGCTTACCGCAGAATCAGTAAACACGGGAAGGGGTGAACTTTTAAGTGGATCTGAAATAATTTGTGCTTCAACAGAAGTAAAGACTTTTTAATTTTTGGCATGTGGGGGAAAAACAGTCGGCTGCACAATAGCAGCAAACTGTATTTATTTATATTTTTCCTAGTCGTTACGAAGTCCAGTTTGGACTTAGCAGTCGAGTAGGGCTAGTACCGCTGAACCTCGTAGAATATTTTTCTTATCCCGTAGGTGTATCGTTTCTATTAGTTACAGAGTTTTTTGTGTTCAACCTGGCAATTTTAAACTTTGCAAGTAATATGTTTATCTTTTAATCTGGTGCTCATTTATGATGTAAAAAATATATGAATTACATTCAAATTTGGTATAGCTGCTCCGTGTAGTTGCATACTATGTGCCTCTAAAATATATAGACATGTAATCATTCAATAAAAAGCTTGCATGGCATGAACCTACGGATCAAATTTGCTTTTTTTTTTCAGTAATCAAGCTGATAAGAGAATCGTGTTTATAGGCTTTTGCAGTTAGGTTGGGATATTTCTGTGGTTAAGGCATCTGTTCTGCATCCGAATTTAACGGCTGCATCTTCCCCTCTGGGGCATTTTACAGATTAACTCAACATTGATTGGTTTTGTGTCATGGCAGATTTGATTCTATCAAACTGCGTGAGCGTGAAGCCAGATAGCAACTTATTCAAATCACTAGATGCACCGCGGAAATTGCATTTTACAGTTGAGCTGCACTTCATAGTTACATCGTTTAAGTAAAAACAAATTGCAAGGAGTACGCATAGAAGTAAAGTGATTAATTACGAAAGTTAACAGAAAATAAAATGATACCATCACTCGGATTTGACCCTAAAAGAGCCAGTTTATTTTGGCCCGTGGATTCCACCCCCGGCTCGTTTAGGTTTAAACTTTGACTTTGACTTAAGTTTATAAGCTGGTGACGATCAGCTTCTCAAGCAACCGAGGTAACGACCTCTTCCGGATCTGGAAAGAAAAGAAACAGGAGTCTTAACGGTGCGACATCATTAGAAACGTGTCACACGTGTCTGTCTACTTGGATGGTTTTGAACTTTGATTAAATCGAGCCCCGCACCAGAAAGAGATACGGTATTTTAAGCCACCCCCATCGGGGCTTATTTGAAGCTGATGCTACCACCTTGCAGTTGGTGTTGTATAGGATAAAAGAGATCCAAAGCAAAAATTCTTACAAGTAGTTTGTAACATTACTTGTATATCATGTTTTGTTTGACATGTGGATCACAAGCGCAGATTTCGGAGATTCAGATGTCAACGGCTGGAGTGTAATATTTCATTTAAGATCATGTCCACAGAACAGCCGACTCCCAGGTACTGTGTGAACGTATAATGCCAGACTTCCTGGGGCATATCTCAACATTCAACTGAATCTTTTCATATTACTGCAAATATCTGGGTGGCTGATTACAAAATAATTTGTGTGTTGTACAAATATCTTACCCAAATCGTTCAACTCCACTGCTGTGACGCTGTCTTCATCCAATTTTCCTTTATTCGGTCTTAAAAAAGACAAAAAGGGAAAAGACAAACACCTGCTTGTAAAGCTGCGTGTTTTTTTTATATTGAACACCTCCCCCTCCAAAACAATTTAAGTACGGATACTTGTCCAGTCTCAAAATAACATAATTTAAAATATTTGGAATTGCAAACAGCGAAACAAAGTTCGAAGTGAAAGGTTTGATTTGATTGATTTTAGGGCTTCAATTGGATTCGATCGATCAAACGATTTTCTCGCTTGCTTGCTTTCTCTTCATGTTTGTTCCATTCCGAAAACTGATTGTTAGAGGAATTTAGTGTCAGCGTACCGGTTTTTAAGGATGTATCAGTGAAGGTCAAACCCCAACATCGAATTGTCGGAAGTGCATAAGCTGTACGTCAAATACAATACATAGGCAAAGTGGGCCTTTACTTACTTGTACTTTTTTAGCATTGGCTTTCGAACACCTGTAAAGAAAAAAGTCACAGCAGTTTTTATATGTATTAGAGAAAGGTTCCTTTATTAGGGGTGTGCATTGTGACCCTCCGTATCTTCTTCACGAAAGGTCACCATTTCAAAAAGAACTTTAGCTTGGCAGAAATTAAAGTTCACAAGATCACAGTCATGAGTGAACTGAAGACGATGATATAAAACTCTTGATTTTGTGAGGGTACCACGCAGGTTTTCAAACTGGGATGAAATAATTATCCACTAGTTGGTGATAAATGACTTAAGCCACAGGGATGTTCTCACTCAGGTCAGTGTTCGCCGTCCTGTATTTACGGTAGACAACAACGGCCAATACAATACTGACGATCAGCAAAAATACTACCAGCACCACAACAGCGGCAACAAGGCCCAAGTTGTCTTTCGACAGAACACCTGGAGCATAAGAAAAGAAAATTAAAAAAAACACTCAGGAGTAATTTATTTTTGTAATTATTAGGTAGACCTATTTTGAATATTTATGTTCTTTTCAAAACCGAAATAGGAGGAATACTCCAGTTCCTGTGGGACTTCGATGTTCTCGATGAGAAATCTTTAGGTTGGCCCTAAGCTTAGATGGACTTAAGCCTAAAGAAAGAGCTCCACATGAGGAAATAATGGCATTGATTTCCTTGGAAATCTGAAACAACCAAGCCTTCCAAAAGAATCTTTTTGGGGGGTGTGCAATTTAAACAAAACCATGGTTTCCACAATTGAAGTGCAAACGATGAATGGAAACAGTGCAATCTGAACAACGACAAGAATATAATATAAAATCAGTGCTCTGGAATATGTGACTGCCAAGCTTTTGGTAACTGAGTACCTCCTTCAGGGCAAGCAGGACTGAATCTGCTTGCCCTAAAGAAGGTACTCAGTTACCGAAAGCTCGGAAATTACTTATTACAGAGCACTGATTTTATCTTATATTCTTGTCAATATTTTGATCGCGGTGCTACCTAGCCTTTCCATATTTTTCTGCAATCTGAACAATGTTTGTCTAACGAGTCGCCCGATCTCCAACAAAGTACAGCCATAGGCTCCATGCATAACCCACTGTCACAACTTTAACCATCACTTAACCCTGTCAAAACATCGTGATGAATAAATGATATAACGTTTGAAAGGGTAACATGAAATCACCCTTGTCCTCTAAAAGCAATTGGCTACACGTACAAATTTAACATATCTGATGGTACTGAGCAATTTCCTACCAGCCAATCCAGACATACCGTTAGCTTTGTAAGGGACAGCTGGTGACGCTGAAGTTGAACCATCTACAGCTGGTAAAACAGTTGCTGGTCTAGCAATTAATGTTGATGTTGAGGTTTGATGAGCCCTGGTGGTGAATGTAGCAACTTGAATGTCACCTTGTGGTATGGAGGTTGAGCCTATCTCACCGGAGTGATCACTTGGGGATGTGGTTGTTTCTGGAACTTGACATGAGCGAAAGTGAGGAGATGGAAGATATGAGAATAACAATTATTCTCTCCACGACATGTTGCACCCAGATTGTACGTCTTTGGTGCAAACCTAGCAAAGGCATAATTTTTATGTACCTTTGCACTTTGGGAAAAGCATGTGACGGCTATTATTGCCATTATCCAGTAATTGCATGGAAATTACGCCAAACTTGCACAACTCCTGGCCCCAAAGAATTTGATTTAATGGAACTGTTTAACTTGTTTGATGCTCCTAATTCATAAGGCTATTGTAGTACCACAGCGAACATCGTATCTTACTTCCTTTGATCAGTTGAATTCTTAACGTGTGGACCATGCCCATGCCATTCCCACTACTACAGGAGTAAAAGCCGTAGTCTCCTTCACCAGTCACTCCGTGGAAGTGTAAGATGCTCTTTACTGTGTAACCAACTACGTCATCCCCACCGACTAATGTATCGACCTGAAAGATCCGGCCTGGCTCTGTCTGGTTTGTTATCAAGGCTCCTAGTGGATTAGCCCATATAACGATGGGGAGGGGGTTTCCATTGACAACGCAAACCAGGAGGGCATCTTCTCCTAAGTTGGCTTTGACAAGGTTGTCAGGTTTCTTGTTCGCGAAGCTTACTTCATCTATAAATGAAACAGACATATACATAAACAAATTCGAGTCTGGCAATAGCATTTCTTTCAATTTGTCATTATTTCAAAATATAAATCTGACGAAAAACAAACCAAGAGAAAACAAATTGCATTTTTATGTAATTTTTGCTGAAACAGCTAAATACAAATTGCCATGCCGAAACAGGGGAACCATTTCAACACTTCTTTTATCTATTAAACCTAGGTTGAATTAATATCATTTATTTTTCAGTTAACCTCTCAAAACATTAACCATCTTTAGTATTATGAAAACGAAAGTTGTTTCTATCAAAAATGAGTGCATTAGCAAAGATAATGTCTTTTAAATCCAGAACAATTTAGAGTTTTATTTGGGGTGAGACCTCTCCTTTCATTTTTCAACAATTTAGGTAAAACGTCAGCAATAGACTTGGGTCTTCTTATAACTGTCCATCGACTTCAATTATGTGATGTCATTATTAAGTAAGGGCTTACAATGAACAGCTACGTCAATTTGGCTTGAATAAACCACGGGTGGTACGCCGTTGTTTCCACGACACCTGTATGATCCAGCCTGGTCCTTGCTGATGTTGCGTAGCGTGAGGATGCTCGTACCATGAGCGTGTACAGACGACAGGGAGTCCGGAAACCCAACCCTCTCCCACGTGATGAAGCCAGAAGGCATGGGATTGGCTTCTGCGCTGCAGGACAGAATGACGTTGTCGCCCTCATCGACCGGACGAAGTGGGGTAGCGATCGGCTCGGAGAAGTATGGACGGTCTTTCAGCATGACAAAAAAATGAAAATTTCCTTACAGACATGCCACATAATATTCTTCCGTCTTGTACATCTCATTTACAGGAGGAATGTGTCTCTTGAAAGTAGTGTCATCTTTGAGAAGAAAAGTCTCATATACTCCATTCAGAAATTTCTATTTTTCATACCAGTTATTAATTAACCCTGTACTTTTTATGTTGAGAGCAAAACTGAAAGTAATGAAATGAAAGTTCATGACAAATTTACACCTGTATACTCTGATGGATAATAAAGGGACTTTATGGTCCGAAGCAATTTATTTTGCCTGTTTTTCTTCGTTTTTTTTCCTATTTGGTTTTACGGAGGCTAGCGGAGAGAGGATTTCCGAGGGTAATTGAAGGGCTCAATAGGTGACTTTTCAGAAATGGCATTCTTATAATTCTTACATTGTACATTTAATGAACAATCTCCACACACTTCACTGCAAATTGAACTGGTTGCACAACACTTCAACAGAGCTCCATTGTCTTTCTTTGTCAGTACACCCGTTATGAAGTCCAGTGTCGTCACTTGGCCTCCGTAGTCTCCATCCGTCAATACCGGCAGAGCATGGCTCATCTGTTCCACATCTTCTCTCAGCCAAGTCAGGTTGGTCGATGGATTGGCAGTCTCGGCCGCGCAGCTGAGGGAAGCAGTTCTGCCTGACATTACCCGTTGCGGGCAGCCAGTGATATGGACCATCTTTGTACAAACTGTGGACAAAATGAAAACAAGGAGGGATATTAAATCAGGGAGCAAGGGTGATACCTTCCACTTGCTGTCTTAATATTGTGTTCCGCACAATATTATTGAATACGCACAATGTAATCTGAGTTAGTTTATAGCACTTTATATCCATATTTTAGCGATATTCAAACAATACTCTATCTTTTTTCACAAGAATATTACACCTTTTCACAAATTCCACATTCATTTATTCTCCATATTTTATTGACATGATGCTATACACAACCTATAGCAGCCCATTGCAATTGCTTTTTTCTCGACTGCTTCGTTTCTTCAACTTGGAAAGCACAGCAAGTAGTAGATTAGTATGGACAGAGTCAAAAAATGGTCCAGTGCTGACATTAAGTCACCTCTCACTACCCTAGGGCCAGTTAGATGTTAATTTCGATTTGATTTAGCAGGACTAGATTACGTTTTCTTTAGGTTCTGTAGACATCAGGCCCTGGGTGCACTAGGTTTCATCCGTTTTCTGTTTCAACTCAGATGCACTTAGATATACACTGAAATAGTAGCTTTTTATGCCCCAAAATTCTTTTAAACGTACCAAAGCATTTGTAGTCCGTCTTTGCTTATGGCTTACTACTATTTTTCACGGGCGCCTGAAAACATTTCTTAAAGGCCCCGATTTTTGTAGGGTTTTGGCACATTGCCAACTTTGCTCACTAAACAATCTGAAGCTGTGTGAAGAAACCGCCTTTTAACTTTGTTTGACTTTCTCCCTGGCAAAGGGACGTTTTAAATGTGAAACGCAAGGCTGAAAAGTTCATATAAATATTTAAATACAAAAGCTTACATTGCACGTCCAGGGGGCCTAAGAAAGTTTCCGGTGTATTGGTCCAAGACTCCTTGTGCGCCACACACCGAATGGTATCACCATTATTGTCTCTCGTTGGGGTGAACCTCAGGAAGGAAGTGAACATAAACCGATCGTCCTGTGGCGCTGAGGCTGTCTGGTTGGAAGGTAACGGCTCATCTCCACTGTACCAATGCAGCGACCAGTCGGATGGGAAACCCATGGACGCTTGGCACTCCAGGAAGGTTGAAATATTCTCAATCATTGAAGGGCTGCCTATGATTATTGGCAAGTCCGGTGAACCTACAGTTGAAAAAAAATTCATTCATTCTGGTTAGCTTATGGTTCCTTGGGTAGAACGCATCGTCTTTGCTGACTTGTTAACTCACGTTTGGTGAAATACAATTTATTCTCGTCGGTAAGTACACGAAACTGTATGGTCTCTTCTTAAATGTCTGTCTCTGACGGTACATAAGGGTATAAATAACTTAAGTGTCCTAACCTCCCACTCTCTTTCTGTCATTTTGTTTGGGTACATTGGGTACATAATTATGTACCCAATTTTGGAGCATAAAAAATTGTGTTTTCTTGTTCAACTCTTTTCACATTATTTTAAGCAATCCTGTCCTTATTTTGAACACCATTAACAATTAGCATCTAGGCTAAGGTATTCCAAATCAATAGTTAGCTGCTTCGGTGTACTGCCAAAACAGCTATTGCTTTTGTTAAAGCTTTTGTGGCTTTTTCGCAATTTTGCGAAGAAGTCTTTCTTTTTTCCCGCAATTTTGCGCAAAAGACATTGTTTTCTATTTTGTTTTTGTTCTTTTGCTTCTTCTCCTCAAAAGCCCACTTGGTTTGTACACGTTTTTTGTCGCCGCGACTTTAATGCTTTTGCAACTTTGGATCTTCGCCAAATTTATACCAATGAAGAATCTTTTTGCATAGATGGTTCTAAAAACATGATTTTAGTTTTCTTTTGTATTCAGTAAGTCTTACCATTAACATCTAGTGTAATTGTCACAAACGGTAATGGCTGTTTTGAATCTGCCGTACTGGCTAAACACTTCAACTCTTGTCTGTGATTGAATCTGCTCGGTGTTAGCGTCCACGAATCGGTCGAATTGACCAATCTGTTTCCTCCTGAAGATGGGCTTTTGGTTCTTTGCAAGACATCATTTAGAAACCATTCAATAACTGGTGCTGGTCTGGTACCCCGAACCTCACACCAAAACGTCGTCGGTGTACCCTCGTTCACCTCTACATCACCGTACAGTCTGACACCACCAGCATCTGACAATACCATGGACGAAACCTTGGGTAGTACTAAGGAATGAATCAAAACATAATTTAGATATACAGTATAAGTGTTTCTGGTTGACATAAATCTTGTGGGTTTTTTTACCATTCTCCTTGCAAAAGTGGATATCTTTTTTTAAAAATTCATCAGGGTCGAAAACCAAACCTCTGTGTAAATTCTGGCACTTAATTAACTCAAATTGAAATACAAAACTGCATTGAGCAATTAGTAAATATAGAAGATATACCGGTAGAGTGAATTACTGATAACTGTTGAATAAATGAATACTGGACCACATGCAATATCTGACCTTTAACATGGAGCATAACGCTGGTACTAATATCCACTGGACTGTTTTCACTCGACACCTCACACCGTATTATCTGTCCATGATGGCTCTCTGTAGGCAGCATCGTTACGCTGCTTGTTCGGTTGCTCCAACTACCGGATGAGCTCTCGGCAGCGCTGCTGCTGTTGCCCGCAATTTCCTGGCCACCCAGCCTCCAAGTGAACGACGCATCCGCGTCAATGTCAAGAGCACTGCATGTGAACTGATGAGGCTGTCCTTCTACAAGGTATGCTACACCGCCAGATGAGGGGTAGCTGCCGGCTGAGTCCAGCATGGTAAGACCAGTTGGAGGTGCTGGCAGGTGCAACCAAATGTTACTTTTATTCAGAAAAATTCTATTCAAATATGAATATCAATTCTTGGATGTCAGTCATTTTGTAAGCAGTAACAAAAAGTCCTTTAGTGCTTTATAATTAAAGGATTATACACGTTGAAAAATACACTTTCCAAAATCGAAGTTACTCTCAACTGTCTGGATGATCTCAAGCGCAGAAATGAAAAATACATTTTGAAAAAAGACCAATTATTTTACTCCAAATGACCAATGTATCGAAATCTAAGTATTAGACTCAAAAGATTCGTGCAAATACTACACAGTTAAGTTGAATGAATGGACTGGTACGTTTGAAGGCATCACCGTGTATGAAATGGGAGACCACATGTACACAACGGCATTTTGCATCTATATTTGGTGACTTTGCCAGTCCTGGTCAAGAACATTGAAGAATATTGAGGCCAATATTCATTGGTTGCAGTGTTCACATAACTTTATTTCGTGGTCATGGCCACCCAATATACATGACATGTCAGTTCGGTTGGTGGATAACTTCGAAAGGACTAAATACTACAGGTAGCTCCATCCCTCTAATCAGTCTAAATCAACATAAAAAGAACAGCAGTAGAGCAAGAAAATAATTATCTTAACCCGCTGATAAGTATACATGCACATGGTTAACGTTACGGAGTGAAAATAAATGGAACTACATCTATTTCCGACACGCTGCCGATCGTAACTCCAGTTTACAAAGTGTTGAATGGAAAATAAATGCTTTTATTTAGCGTCATTGATAAAGCTCAAATAAGTAAACGATTTTAGGGGTTTATTAAGTATTTCACAATGTCATCCCTACAAACAAAAAGGCACGAAACACAACATCCAATCCATCTCCCGATATGAGGAAAAAATGTGGCACGTGCGCTGCTAGCAATCTGGCCAGAGAGGCCGCGCTTCACCCAAGCAGTTTGCAACAACATACCGTTGATGTCAAGTGTAATAGCCACCGACGGGAACGGCTGCTGTGAATCGGGTGTGTTGGCTACGCATTTCAACTCCTGGCCATGGTGAACCCGGCTAGGGATGATCGTAAAAGTAGCAGAGGTATTCACTAAATCGTCACCTGCTGTAGACTTTGGACTGACACAACCATGAGGGTCATCTCCTACAAACCAGTAGATGGTTGCTGCTGGTCTGGTGCCCTCTACCATGCAGGTCAAATTTTGCACTGTGCCTTCGTCGATTTCAACCGTAGACTGTAGCCGGATTCCGGCGGAATCGAAGAATGACATGCGCGATGCTACAGGAGGAACTTACAGAAAAATAAATGGCAAATATGTTTATTTACATGAAAATCGAGAACTAACCTATGAGGCAAATTGTTTTCTGAATACTGGTTTTCCAAAACTCTCCATTTATAAGGGTTTGAAAAAAAAGTATACAAATCTCCAAGTTCGAGTATTAAAAAACGATTCATTGTGCTTTAACTGCTGCAATTTAATGATGCAAATCAAAAATATGCAGAAATATTTCATCAAAAAACCCTAGCCGCGCAACAAGAAGGTCTCGTACCTTTGACGTCGATAGTAACGGTAACTGCAATTCCTGGATTGCCATCTTCATTCGAAGCACGGCACTGCAGCGTGTCACCGTGGTTGCTTTCAGTGGTGGTAACAGTAGTAATACTTGTACTCGTGGTCAGTCCATCTTCACCGGTAATATGAATGTTTCGATCTGGTGTGACCTCCTGCCCACCCAGTGTCCACAGGAAAGAAACACCTGGATTAATGTGTGGGACTTCACAGGTAAACTGGTGGCCAACACCAGCCACCACGTAAGAAACTTCACTCGAGGATGTGTCGTTTGTTGTCGAGTCGAACAGGAGGATGGTTTCCGGAGGAACTGCATGTGGTATGACACGGAATAAAAATTAGATTACATGTATACAAATTTATAGGAGTTTTAGCTTGACCTCATTCCCTTCGTTCATTCTTAAAAACTTTAGGTGACTCTAAACATCATGCACATAGTGTATTAAATTAACTTAAGGGAAGGGATACAGAATGACACAATGTATTTTACACCTTTTGACCTCACTTTCTTGTGTTCATGTCTTTTTTCATGAGCGGGATATTTTACATAGCTTACTTCCATCTAATTTACATCATAAGCATTTCCCAAAAATACCTGCAAGCATTCACCTTTTAAAATTGGCAGAGAGCTGAGATGAAACCTTTATATATTTCAATCAATACCACCCAAGAGCTGAGGACAACAAAATTACACAGTAAGGTGGATGATCCTTACCCAGGACATCTAGGGTCACGGCTACAAAGGGAAACGGTCGTCGTGACTCTGCCGTACTTGCCACACACTTCACCTGCTGACTGTGATTGACCCTTCCTAGAGTGAATGACCACGTGTCGGTCGTGTTGACTAATCCATCACCTCCTCCAGAGGGAGCACTAGCAGTGCGCTGCGACTCGCCGTCAAGAAACCACTCGATGGTTGCGGCTGGTCTTGTACCCTGTACCTCGCATGTGAATGTTTGCGGGGTGATGCGTTTCACTTTGGTGATGGTATGTATTCTTGCTCCACTTGAGTCATACATGGTCATGGAGGACACCTTTGGTGGAACTTAAAAAAAAATCAACAATGCTTTATAAACTTTCAATAAATTGTCTGGGTTCCTCTTACTTTTTATGTGTTCATATTATTTACAAGCTTAAGCTAATTAACCATGCTAACGCTGGATTCTTTATACCTTTATATTAATTTCAGTTGAAACGTTTGTTACCTTTGACATCCAACAACACGCTGACACTGGTGCTAGGTTGGTTGAGCACATTCCAAGCTTTACATTTCAGCAATTCACCGTGGTTATACCCTGTTGCCGATATGGTTATGACACTTGTACTGTTAAACAACTCATTGGCATCAGTAACATTTGTGTTGTAATCTGGACCGATCACCTGACTTCCCACCGTCCAAATAAATGAGGCCCCTGGGTCTATTTCGGGCACCATGCACCTGAACTCGCGATCAACTCCTTCCACGAGATATGCTATTCCACCAGTGATGGGGTAGTTCCCAGTTACATCCGATAAAACGATGATTGTAGGAAGAACTGAAGAACAAAAACATACAGACACGATACCTTTACTCACATAAAACGTATGAGGTAAGTAGAGAAACAAAGCAGATTAGATTGATTTAGGTACATTCCTTATTTTCAGGAATGTGTTCTTAAAGCAAAGACATTTGGTATTCTACACCCCTGTATGGTTAGCCCTGTGAATCAAATATTCAAACTTGTCACGGTGCTAATTGCAGTACTCTGAAAATCGGTCTAGTTTGTTCAATCAATATGTTGTCAATAACATCATAAGCCGTATACCATTGCAAAGAGGGCATTCTGCCCTTTCTAGAGATACATTTTTCTTCCCATATATAAAGTATTTTTGCCATTACAGTAATTTTTATCTCGGTAATCTTTTGATTTGGACACCCCGTATTGACATTTGAGATGCCTTTTTCTTTACTCTGTGGTTACCAAGAACAAAAGTAATGACGTTGAATAATCTATGGCTGAACCAATTGCCTTAATACCTTTGACGTGTATCACAGCCTTGATCGAGGGATGCGGCTGTCGCGACTCTTCTGTACACGCCACACACTTGACCTCCTGACCTTCATTGTTTCTACGCGGTGTGAAGGACCAGTTGCCCGAGGTGTTTATGAATCCATCGCTTGCTGCAAGTGGTTGCACAATGGTACGTTGTAGCACGTCATCTAGGTACCATTCAATCGTCACGGCTGTTTGTCCTATCAACATCTGGCAAACAAAGATTGTTGGTATCCCTTGGTATACCTCGGCTGTTGCTCCTAAGATGGTTCCACTTGAATCACGCAGTGACATGGCTGATACCTTCGGTGGCACTAAGAAAAGCATAGTCCTTGTTACTTTAATCATAAGATAATCTTGGGTACATTCTTTAGCGATGGCGTACCAAGCGGAGGGGGGCTTATAATTTTTTTCTGCCCAGCATCATGTTCAATGAGCCTAAAGCCACATTCGCTTTGGAATCCCACCCCCAGCAAAAGCTGGATACGCTGTTGTTCCTTTGAGAGATAGTGCATCATTGGAGACAAGGAACATATTAAAAAAAAAGCCTTGGTGTCTTTCACCAACACCTCTAAACGCACGACGATTGCCGTGTAAGAAACTAAATAGTTGCCACATCAAGCCCGGTGGCCTTAACGTTATTTGATGTTCTTGTTGCCATGTTTGGCCAGTTTGCTACATCTAGCAGCCTTCAGACTGGTTGTTGTCAGTGTTGGTTTCCCTGCAGTACATGTTTGTGTATGCTATTACAGGGATTTTCTTCCGCAAACGGGTTGGGAAAACCCGCTTTCAATCAAGGCTGTCATCGTGGCTCAGGAGGAGTTTGTTTTTTCAAAGGGAAGTAAAGTCATACGTTTCAACAGGGCAAGGGAAAGCTTTCAAGAGCCTCAACGACTCGTCTCGAGACTCACAAAACTTATTTTCCCATACGAGAGTACATGATGTATTCCCAGACAGTTTAGTTTTGTAAAAAGAGAAACATACTCCCTGGGTGTTCATATTATTACCGGCACAAACTATGTACTCAGCCATGTTTACCAGAAACCAGACTGTCTGCTGCCCACATGACTCCACGTTTGATCATTCCCCATAGATTGTATGCATTTAGTTAATCGTGCATGTGCAATAGTGACATAATGGTCGTCGGCCTGAAAAAATTTCTCTCAGACGATGAATTTCTCTCAGACGATGATGATTTGTACTGCCATTTCCCTTGAAGACCCTGTGTGTGTGTATAAATTGCGTATAATCTATCAAATGGTGATATTTAATAGCTTCTAGTGAGAAAGATCGCCGGAAAATAATCAAAGAAAGTGGAAAATGTCAATTTTATGTCAAAAGTATAATTATGGAAAAAAATTACGTTTTTACCTAACTTTGTGTCTTATTTTCACAATTTGCCGAGTTTACCTTCAAATGACTTTGATGCCACCTGAAAGACTCGTAATTCTTATCAACAAAAAATTTATTACTTCTAGGCAAAATTCATTTTTTTAAATTCACTTTGTATTTCTTTGGGGCCCATTTTCGTCATTTTCTGAGTTTTTCACCTTAATTAGACTAAGTCCACATTTTCAAAACTTTTCTCGAATTTCCCTCAGATCATCAGTGATGCTGTCTGGAAGACTGATAAATTGTTTGTATCTGTCAGCTATTTTTTTCAAGAGCCATTTGTCTGAAATGCGGTTCGTTTTTCATGCAGATTCGAATTTCCGCACTGAGTTTGGCAGTAGTCAAAAATGAGATGTCCAGATTTGGGGCGTATTGCACACATACACACACATACCTGGGTATAAGTGCATTTTGGGTACAATCACGTCAAACTGCCTGACTAAAAGGCATACACAAAAACTGTCTGTTTTCAACCATAATGTTTCCTTCTTGTATGATACTTTCTCATTAGAGCGTTCATGATATTCCTCACTATTCACAAGTAGAGAACTGTCAGGGAAAACCTGGAAAAATAAAAAAAAAAGATCCCCTCTGAAATGATGACTTCACTTCAAACTTCCGACTCTACTATTTTTGAGGTAGATGACAAAGACGGGGAAAAATTGTGCAGAAAATGGATTTTATAGTGCATGTGTGAGTTAGCGAAAGGGACTTTGAGTGTTTAAAATTCAAATCGGTATGGAAATGAGGGGTAAACATCTTTATCTGAGCTTGATTTTGATCGATTACTTTTGGGATCCACCTGCCCGACTCAAGAGCCATTTTACTGGCTTCTTGCGCTGTAGTAGGTTTCAGTGCCCATGCGCACCAACAAAGTGAGGGGGAGGAACATACGTGACTCCTGAACCGATGACTAGAAATACGCAGTGTTACCTACTTGTAATATCTAGCGTTACGTTCAGAGCAATACCAGGGTGACCGTCTGCGTTGGAGGCCTTGCATTGCAGTATCAGTCCGCGATAGGCTTCCGTTGGTACGATGGTAGCAACACTCGTGCTCGTGGTCAAACCATGGGTACCAGTAACGTGACCGTTGGTGTTTGCTGTGATGTGCCTACCGCCGATGGTCCACGTGAAGGAAGCCCCTGGGTCGATGTCTGGCACGACACAAGTAAACTTGTGTGCCCATCCTTCCACCAGGTATGCTGTACCTCCAACTGGAGGGAAACTGCCCGATGGGTCAGATAGGGTGATATTTGTAGGATATGCTGTGAGACAAAAGTTTACACTTCTATTACGAAAGTAACATGTAATAGAACTTCTACTGGCTGAGTTTTGGAGTCTTTTGGATTGCTTCAGTAGGTCGCTATTTACGATATAGAGACTAAGTAATGAAGTGTAAACACAATTTACAGAAGTATAAGATTATCCAGAGGCCTATCTAGCGGGGGAGCAAGTTGCCCCCCCCCCATCTACTCAAGGAGACTAGTTGCCGTATTGTAAGTAGTTGAAAGCCTGAGCATTGTTGATAGAGCAATTAAGCTTTCTTTGCAGTGGGGTTTCAGATTCTTTCAAAGAGGAAAAACCGGACATGCAGTTCTTTAATATGTAATATCTATCTCGAACTGCTTTAATACAAGTCATCTTGGAAGCACAAGGTCCCATGAATTAATCCGAAGAATGCATAATGACCACCAAATATTGCACACAAAGTCCCTTCTTGTGGTTGAGAGATTACAATACTCCGGCTATTTATAAAATCCCTAGCGTCATAGTTTTTCTTTCGAAATATATTTAAAATTAGGTTGGTGTAGTATAGAATTTTAGCCACATATCATTTCTAACTGGTCAGCAGACGGTTCAAGGCCTAACGGTGTCACTTTAAGAGTGCTCGTGGGTGGAAAGAAGTACGTACCAAAGACAGAAAGGATAACCATAACTGATGGATATGGTTCGCGTGATTCTGCAGTTCTCGCTAGACACCTGACAACACCTACGTGATTGGTCCAATTGAGAGCAAATGTCCAAGTTACTGTTGTATTGACCAATCCGTCTGCAGGTTCGGTGTTTGGTTTGTGGGTGTGCCGTAAGGTGTTATTGAGGTACCACTCGATGGTGGGAGCCGGTCTTGTGTCCAATACTTCACACGAATAGCTACGCTCAATGCCATGCATGACGTCTTTAGTCGGTCCAAGCAGGGTCCCCATAGAATCGTAAAGTGCCATAGACGATGCAACTGGTGGAACTGTTTGTCATAAAATGTATTGCAATATCATTAGTAGAGTTTTGCTCATCATGTTTGAAATTAAGCCCTTCTCCCTGTGTTGGTTATTTGCTCAAGATATTAAAGGAATTTGAAATGTTTACAACTAAAAACAATGGATGTTTACGCGTCTTTGCCTGAAAATTACTATTGAAAAAGATTTTACAGCTTTTAATATTTGATTAGTAAATATTTGTGTCCAAGACAAAAAATTGTCAAAATCCCCATTTTTTGTCAAATATGTGGCTATGTCTTCATAATTTAGTCTAATGCCATGGATTTTTAAATACTAGAAATTCAGTTGCCCGACCTACAACACTTGCCTGTGACATCTAGGTAAACCACAAGCTCTAAACTAGAATGGCCGTCCTGGCTTGACGCGAGACACTTCAGCGACTTTCTATGCATGGTCCAGCACACGGACAGAGTGACGAAGCTTGTGCTGGTGGTCAAAAAATTTCCCTTCTTAATGTGAATAGTAGTGTCCTGTATGACCTCCTGACCTTCCAACGTCCAAACGAACAATACCCCCGGATCGACGTTTGGTACCTCGCATTGAAACTGATGGTCGGTCCCCGCTACGAGGTGAGACGTATCACCGGTCAGATAGTATCCATTGGTGTCAGACAAGTTCATGCTTATTGGGAGTACTAAATTGTACAAAATAAATCCGGCCAAAAGGTCTGTCAGAAAACACACCCATACCTGTTTTACAAATAAAGTGTGAACATTTCTTTGTTCTCCTGTGGTTAAGAAAACTTGGGGAAAATGCTCCTTTTTCTCCAACTAGGATAACTCCTTCGAGCTGGATTTTTGATGATTTCTTGGACTGTTCCACTCCATTTTCCCACGGATAACCTTGACCACAAAATGCCTTTGAAACTATTTGTCAGAGAGGGGAAAACATTGTGTGGACGTGGGCGAGTCCACACAACTCAATCCACCCTACATTAGGTGGACTTCTTTTATGCAGAGGTCCACAATATGTATACCACGCCTGCACACTGTCAACCATATTTATCCTTGACTCAAGCTTTCCTGTGCTTTAAACAAGTATTGCTTTCGAACTATCAATGAGCTCTAGGCCGAAAAACCATTTAAATGTGTAGGCAGGTAAAGTGTTGTACTCCTATCTTTGTGAGCAAAATGTGGGTAATACGGAAGGATAACAAGGACTGTGCTTGTTTGTGATGTTATGTTTAAAAGGCACATATGACAGGCTATTGATGCCTTTCCAACATAACATCACAAACAAGTACAATCTCTTTAAGTTAATGAAAGTTATGAACCCGACAAGATATGTGATTTTACAAATGACAAGCTTTAAAAAAGCATTCATCATTCTGCGACAGACGACAGAACTTCTCATTTGTGAAAAGAAGAAGTTTTCGTATGTTCCCTCCCAGCTTTAATACGAAAGCTACTAGACTAATACTTACCAGTACTGGTTGTAGTGATGTCGTCTATCGCAATGTCTCCCTGAAAGTCGCGTCCTCGTACAGCTTCAATCGCTACTCTGAAGCTCTCATTGATATCCGTTATATTGACCTCAGCTTGAAGCCATGTTGTTCCGTTTGTCTGTTCACCAGTCCGCGTGAAAAGAATATTCCCAACCTCCAGGGTTCCATTTACCGGTGTCTGATAGACGTTAAGTGTGCCTAAAAGTGAAGAATGCATTGGACTTAATACCCGTGAAAATAAGGTATTTGGCACATATTGTCAATATTGAAAAGTCAAGACATCAGAGCTACATTGATATTAGCTCAATATATATCAAGTACCTTCAACTTTCACAAGGAAAAAAAATTAAATGTGGATTGTTTCTTTCTAGAAACAAGCTGTAGAAAGGGGCATTTTTCGTAACCAATCCCAGTCTTCCTCATCATTGTATGCTCCTTATTACCATTAAGGTGACCTCTATCTTTGACAAAACTCCACTCCTATCGACCATAGATGTTACATGAGTAGTTTTTATATGTAGGAAAATGATACTTTGGATGGAAATACTATAGTGGCATTCTACGTTTCGACAAATTTGGCCTTTCTCAATGGGCACTTATATAAATGCACTACTTATTACTGAGATGAGATTTTACGATTTTAATCATCATTTTTGAAAAAGTTAATTTCATGAATTTATGTAAACTCATCCATCCCCTTGACTCTATCGATAAAGGAAATAAGGCAAGTGAAAACTTGCCCACAAATTACCAGTTTACATTAAACATACCAATTGTGCTTCCGTACATGTTGTACCAGAAGTTGACATACCACGTTAGACCGGGATATTTGGGATCATACTCGAATATGCCACTGAGCAGCACGGCATTATCTCCTGCACTCAGAGGACTACTCGCCTCCAAGTAGCAATAGTGACCATTGGTATCTGTAAAGTGTAATAAAGGAATGCCATAAGATTTCACTGTCTGGAAAGTTCACCTTGAAAGTTCAGCAATGAGAAATCACCTGTGCCAAATGCATGGGCATAGATCCCAGGGGGCATTTTGGTATATATCCCCCAGTTTTGACCAGGTGTGTGGTTGCGTGCAAGTCCATTCATTGTCGTCATATAGTGTTGATGCCTCCAGACAATTACGTGAAATGCGTATGCACTTGTACACGTGAATGTATGCTACTGCCCCCAGGGAATACCCGACAGGAATATAAACTAAAAAGATAACTGGCTCTAATTTTCGGTCTAGCCAACCATATTCTAAGCGTTCCGTTTTTATGAATATGACGTCCCACACCCGATCTGACTACCCACCGCTACTTATAAGTGAGGCTTTTGCAGCAAAATAGCCATGCAATAATTGTGATGCTAATTTGTTGTCGTATGATGCAATACAGTTGGCAAACTTGTGAGGCTTGTTGTGCCCTCTGCTTGCAAACTTTCGTGACGAAGACTAGCCTCACTTATAAGTTGCCAACTGTATTGCATTATACGATAATATAGTAGCATCACAATTATTGAATGGCTATTTTGCTGCACAGGCCTCACTTAGAAGTAGCGGTGGGTATTCGGATCGGGTGCGTCCCACCCCTTAATTCAGCGCCTACCTCCTGTGGTCCTGTCCAATTCTGGACCAGTGCCTCCCGATTTTGTTTGTCCCTGGTGTCGACAATTCCAGTCCGCATCGTCTTCTGTCGACTGGATCCATCCACACATATCTCTCTCGAAGTCACAATCAGCACAAGGGACTGGAAATTCGGAAAATTTGTTGAAAACCTTTGTGTCCTATTTTAGAATAGACTGTAGCGAGAACACTAGAAAGTTCGATCATGGACCATAGCTAACCAAACAGTTCGACTAACTCTGACTGAACGCACGCTAATCCACGATGATTGGGCTCACCTAGTGGACTGTTCACGACCAGCCCATCGAGGGTGGCTGTTTTTATGACACAGTGCTGTGAGAACCAGTTATAAGAGAAGTGATAGAAAACAGCCAATTTAAACTGTCGCTATTATGGTATACGATCGTTTTCATGTTTCTTTTGTGATGTTGCCCTTCCTACGCCCACTTCCCCCTCCCCGGTCTGAATGACAAACGGTTGAGTACTGGTCCTTGATCGGATTTGCCAATTGCTGTCGCTTTACAGCCCGTTACTTTTGCTGTTTCTACTGTTGCTTTAGAGATGTTGCCGCCATTGATGTCTCCATCCACTGCCACTGTGACTAGCTTGGCTCACAATGCACACCTGCAAGGCCATATATCATAGAAATCTTGCTTGCAAATGTGACGTCACTTCAGCTAAACCCACGCCCACAGCAAATAACCATGGAACCGGAAAGTTAACGCGCAACTTGAGAGCCCATTCAGTGGGAAATTGCTATCAGCGATACGTGCGCGTGTAAGATGAAGTCACAACCCGGATAGAATGGCAAATACTAGATCGCCAACGTGTGCATACATGAGGTCCTATATGGAGGGGGCGGTCACGTGCTTGAGGAAAGATACAGAAACGCATGCCAAACGTGACAGAACACGGGCTCAAGCGGAGCAGCAACACAGCTCTTCGGTGTGTGCACTGCGTGTTCAGGATGCTCATTTTCATCCGCCTTGAGCTGAAGACCCTCCCCCCTTATCGGTCGAAAAGAACCATGTAGTTGAGAGTGTTCATTTTGCTGATAGCAACGCAATCGTAGTGCGTGCATTTCATAGTCGTTCGTGAACCAGCGAAGTGCAGTTTCCACCAAAGAAGCCTTTGTTATTGGGGAATTTTCATCTGCTCAGTCCGGCTTGGGGCTCATATCTATGCCCTATACATGTAAATAAACAAATTTTGGTTACTCATTCGTCTTGTTAGGTTTTTTCCCACGAAAAAGAATGTCGTCCCTGTAAGTAGAAACGATATCTTTCTGTTGTTTCTGCACAGAGAAGAATTACGGTTTCGTCTGTCTTTGTTTCCAAAGGGTCCTTACAAATGCGAAAGAGTGGATGCCTATAATTTCAGTGTAAACAGGAGTTCAATCTCGACCTCTGAGATTCGAGAGATGACTGTTCATTTCCCTAGTCTTAATCGAAAGGAGAATATATTACTTTTGTTGGAATGAATTCTCTCTGAATGGAAATTAACAGGAAATTGTCTGCTTTTGCATTCGACGGCCTGTTGTTAATTGTGTAATAATCTAAAGACCCAGGGCAGCCACTCGACATCTGTCTCACTGATATCGTTGCAGTTAATTTCTCACGCGCTGAGCCTTCAGGAGTATTCTTAATAAGTCCTTCAAGTCATTTTCACACCAATTTAGTGAAAATAGCACAAACTGCTCTCGTACAACACCCATTTGCAGGCTGGCGCGTGCAAAATGGCTTCAACATCTTGTATCTTGTTGGTGAAACTCCTAAACGGTTCACTTGACGAGTTGACTAGAGTGGATTGGTGTTGACGAGAGTGGATTGGTGTTGACAAGAGTGGATTGGTGTTGACAGGGGTGGATTCTGATGCCTTTAACTTTTAAAAGTCCGATTCAGTGGAGAAATCACATTTGTACTGAGAGCCGAGTTCTCCCCTACCTCTGGCTGTGAGACGCTTCAAACAAACCAGGTTGTTTTAGTGTTCAGTAACTGAAATTGCTGATTTGAATCTACAAAGTGTTTATCTACCTTTAGCTTGAACGTCATCAATGGCAATATCTCCGAATATTCTGCGGTAGTTACCATTCCAATGAATCGCTTCAAACGCTATGCGGAAGTCGCTTGTTACATTGGTGATATAAAGCTCAGCTGCAAGCCACGTTCTGGCATTGTTCTGCCGACCACTTCTCGTAAAGATAACCTGACCATCACTTAGCACACCACTTGCGGGTATCTTGTGGACCTTGAGAGTACCTGCATGGTTTGAATGCGAACAAGAGATTATGACCACATTTTGGCGCCGAATTCTTTACACTGGGAGTATATTGTTGTGGTCTGAGCGGGTCAGGTAATTACAAAGCGTGTTGTCAAGCAACAGCAACCATATTTCTCACGTAATAGCACGAGGAAAAAGGAAAACTCACAAAATAAAAGTAAAGTTTGATGGTGCATGGATATATTTTTGACATTCATGGCAGTCTTCAATTTTCTCAACATGGCTTGTAAAAGCGTCGTGTGGATCAAGTACCATTGTAAACTTAATCTGTGCTTTCCTACTTGCTTATGTTGAGTTATCAATTACTTCGTCAGGTTATTCAGTGTTTCTTGAATTGGTGTGTAGATCTATAGAGTAAGGACGGTTAAACGAGCTGCTAAGAACTAAGCTACGAGTGTTTGAGTGTAAGGTGCAAAATTTCAAGAAAAAGAGCTATATATCTAGCTACGCAGAAAGGGCTCAGAAGATTATCAAATAGAGTTCCTACGTGGAGAATCTCTGAAAAGTGTCTTAACCATGACGCAAGGCTTAATTTGAGACTATTCCAGACTTTCTCTCTCTTGACATGTCTACCCAAAACCCTCTTCACTTGCCACATAGTTGAACAGCCCCACAAAGTTCAATTTTCAGACTACCCTGTTTTAAAGACCGACTCCAACTGTTTTACAAGTTTTGAAAATAAACTTTTAGCGCGTTTAGTGTTTAATAAATCATATTTTCATTACCAAATCACGTCTGTATTGCGTCTATATTTTTGTAAATTTGCCAAAACTTTTGAACGTTGCCTTGGAGTTTTATGAAAAATTTCCACAATCTGACCACTGGTGGCGCTGTTGAGAAACGAAATTTGTATAATGTAATACCGGAGAAAACATTGAAATTGGTATCCGAGGCACGACTGGTTGCGCTACGAACGTACATATACATGAAAATGGAGCTACATGTGCGTGCACCACGTCTCAGGGATCGATCTGTGTGCAGGCTCTACTGTGCCGCATTATCTCTTTTCGGTCGAGAGTTTGCGCTCCTTTCTTCATGACTTACAATAATGCCCAAATCGTGCGTCTTGGTGGACGTACTAGAAATTCTGCGAAAGAACCGACCCGGATTGAAGTTCTTTGAGTTTCCAAAAAATGAGAGCAATCTTCAAGTTCGTGCTGTCGTCTGCAGCTATGCGTGCTATGGATGCAGACAGTACGGTGGCCTATAACTGTCACGGCAAAAGCAAAAGGGTCACGGCAAAAGCAAAAGGGCCACGGCGAAAGCAAAAGCGCCACGGCAAAAGCAAATTCCTCGCGCGCGCACTGTGGTATTTCCTCTCCACGGTACTACATCACAGAAATCCATATTCATTAGATGCTAAAGAGTCGTGACGTCCATTTTTACAACTGCAGACTGGACTCCCAGGAAAAATAGGTACAAAAGCTGTGTTTTATTAACACAAAAACCTGTGTTGCAAGGGAGATATTGATATGTGCCAGTTTTATTGGACTTGGTTCTTCTGATTAGGATTCAATATGAGAAAAATCAACATCGTTGGAGTTGGTCTTTTATCCACTTACACATAAATTGACACCAACAATTCACTTATTAGGGAGTACAGACGAAGGTAGAAATTTGACAGTTGATTGCAGAAATGTCCCAAGAAGATGCCTTCTTTCAATGCCATTTTCAAGAGCATAAGACTCAGTAACACATTAAACTACAAAAGGGATCTGAAGTTGCTAAGGGAAGCTTATTACTGCTAGTTAATGAAAAAGCTAGCCCGGTAATATTTCACCCAGGTTTTGGGATTTTATCAGTCAAGGAACAAGCTGTAATCAGTGATTTCAAACCTGTCTTGTTTTCTTTTTACCATAGAAGAATTTTCTACCCTGAGTAGAGGCACCCCCTCATCGGTTGAAAAGAGCAATGTTGGTCGGGCGTTTTCATAGTGATGCGAACGCATTGTTTGCGCTTCATAGTCGTTCGCGAACCAGCGATGCGCAGTTAATACCAAAGGGGCCTAAGGCTGTTTTCCAATACTCAACTTCATCTCCGTCGCAGGCTTCGTTCCCAAAACCAATCCCTGGTTGTGTGCCTGAAGCGTTTAAATTACATTGGATTACTATAATTTCTGGTTCTATTGCATCTTATTTGCTGTTTTGTGGCACTTTTAGATTAATTACTGCACTTACAGCTTCAAAGTCAGTTGAAAAAAAAATTTGAAGCCTGAGACAGAGCTGAAGTTGAGTATTGGAAAACGACCTAAGTTTCTTGGAATATTAGGGTCTCTCTTGGCATAGCTCGAGGCCCATTGTCAACGCGTTAAAATTTTATGATGCCACCTTTCTTCGTTTCCAAAAACTCTGTTAGGTCTAGCAAAAAGTCCCTCAATTTTAAAAGGCTAAAGAGAGCTTGGGCAATTTCGAGGACATCACCAGTAGTTGTCCTGGGTACTTGGCCAAAATCCAACAGTAGTTGAAAAGAGTTGCATCAAAATGGACTCATCATATATCATACATCACAAGTTCAGTTGTTCACAAGCTTACGGAAACTTCAGTCTATTCTTGGAAAGTTTGACCTACCAATGTCTCTGCCGTACATGTTGTACCAAAAGCTGAAGCACTGCATAGGTGATTGTGATCCATCATAGTTGATAACAGGACTCAAAAGCACAGCGTTGGTATTCTGATATGTAGGTAAATCGGCGACATGGAAGAAGTAGTAAAAGCCACTGTTATCTGAAATAAAGAGGCGTAATAAGTCCACTGTTATTTCCCATGAAATGAACTTCTCACGAAGGGAAACTACTACCGTGGAGACACCTGTTTAGAAGGGTATTTATATGTCCTATTGTCATCATTGTTTGTGTCTGTGGTACTTTGAATACTCTTCGTTCATTCCGCGTTTTTAACATATCAATATATTCGGAGTTGACAAGATTTCTTGTAGGCCCAAAATAAAGCCATTTAGGGTCAGTTAGGTCTGGCAGTGGTTCACCTGTAGCAAAACAGTTAGCCCAATGCGGATGGAGGAATAATAAAATACATGAAAAATTAAACTTACAAAATTCAAAACGAATGTACAAAAATGGATTTTACCTTTAATTTTAATTTGTGCAGTTTTCATGCATAATACAGACCTGCCAACATGCCTACTCCTTCCTGAGGTCAGGCATTAACACAAAATAGATTAAAAATTGTAAAGAAGTCAAAGCTAAAGTATAGCTTTTAATCTAATTTGTGGTAATGTCTGACGTCTAGAAGGAGTACGGCTAGGTTGGCAGGTCTGATAATATGGGAAAATATAAAAATTATCAAAGTAAACATTCTATACTTTTTATTAATATATAATAACTTCCTTACAAGTCAATTGACTACTATTTTCGTGAGATTTTGCAGAAAGGGGGGGGAAGCAACGTGAACCTTCTCCCCCCGGAAAACTTCTGAAAAGCCTAATCTAAATGAAGTGAAACTATTCAGTAACTTTTAAATACACATCAGTGATGTACAAAACAAAACGTCAAAAATGTGCACTTGTAAATCACATTAGCTCTATGTACTTTGCGGTTGCGACACACAGATTTTTTAAAGTACAAGCATTCAGAGCAGGATGCGTTTGTATATCACAAGTGACATCCCTTATATTATGACGGTGATACATTTGCGATTTTTTTTTTTTTTTTTCATTTTCCTAGACACTAACTGTAATCGCACTCACCACCTATGGTATGGTCAAATGCAGGACCGGTATGGGAAGTTGGCGTGGAACCCCGATGATGAGTCCAGTCTGCATTATCGTCACTTGACTGCACCCAGCCACAGAGACCGTTTTCAAACGTGCAACTAAAACTAGAGCCCCCTTAGGTAGAAGAGGATATAGAATCTTTATTCGAGGAGCCAAAAAATCTGATCAAAGTAATTTGTAAATTTAGGCCTATGAATGCTTGGAGTCAGTTCAATTTTCTCACCGTGACACCTGTCGAATATCAGACGTCCTTCTTCGTTTTGAACTCCACACACTACAGTTCTTTTCAAAAAAATCTGAGGCAGACAAACCTGAGATTGTCACATCGTCGATGGCGATGTGCCCAAGATCATCATACAAATATTGCCGAATAGCTTCGAAGGCTATCCTAAAACTCGAGGCTACATCGGTGATGTAGATCTCCCCTTCGAGCCACTCACTACTTGACGTTTGTTGCCCATGCCGGCTGAAGATCACCCGTCCCTCACTCAGTCGGCCGTTAACTGGTGTCTTGTACACATTCAGTCGACCTGAATGTGATTTTAAACATTCAAACATGGTTTTTTTTACTTGCACAGATCAATAACTGACAAAACCTTTAGGCTGTGTCTGAATTTCCGGGTAATAACCGACCAAAAATAAGCACCCGCTAGGGAAAAATATTAACAGGCGCCTTCGAATGATTGTCATCATTGTTGATTATGTTTCTCCAGCCAAACACGCACCTATGTCGCTGCCGTACATGTTGTACCAAAAGCTAAACCGCCATATAAATTGCCGTACATCTGTGGCTTTGACGATGGGACTCAGTAATACCGCGTTGGAAGACGAGTGTGATCCTCCGTTGGAGTAGCAGTAATAGTTGGTCGATGCTGTAGACGGAAAAATAACACTGCAGTGTAGGTATTCGCAAACATCCCCAAAAGGAGCAAAAGACCAGTGAACTGCATTTAGTAATACAAAATCAAAACTTGTACGAAACTCACAGCTTGAACTTGTTTTGAGTTGAATTACACCCAGTTTTAATATTTATCGGAAATAAATCTTTTTTTTCTGAATATTATTCTGAAATTGAAGAGGTTGATGGGTCAACGCAATGTGATTTTCAAAAAGACATTCTCGATAATACACCTTTAAGTCAAATTTAAACAATATTTTAGGTTTTTTTCGCCATTTCAAAGGGTGTGCAGGGGAATGTTTTGTCTTGATACTAATGCAAAGTCAACTTTTAAATATAAATTATATATTACGCAAGCGTGTGGCGCTATGCAAAGAAAACACCTGGATATTGCAATTATTTGCAGCACCAACATTTGGAAATGTGACGTATAAAATTTTCTTCTTTGTGTTTTTCTTATTTCTATGTGAGATTTTGTGTTTTCGTATTTCATTTCATGGGAGTAGACAAACTGTAGTTTTCTTAAAACAGTGTTTTAAGTGAACGAATTTCGGGTTCAAGGTATGAGAGCAAATATTATTCTTTTAATGAAATGTATCCTGTATATAAAATGTCACTATATTGTGGTGTACTATTTACGAAAATCATTTCTCTCTCTCTTTTTAGCCTCCATCCAGGCGACAAAACTACAAGACACGACGGCACGACGGATTACTTGCGTCGTACCGTCGGGTCACACTGGCGCCTTCTTGCCATTACGTTTGTACAAGCACGACGCGTCGCTTCGTGTGCTTTCGCCCTTTGCTTCATGGTGTTTATAGAGGGCGCCTTTACTGCTTTTTTTCATTTCCCGCCCCCCCCCCCCGTACTTGCATTGTAGGGCACAGTCCACTAATTCAAGACTTTTTCAAAACAGTGTAAAATCAGCAATGTTCAGGGCCTAATAACATGCATACCAACATCCCTGAGATTTCTGAATCACAAATGAAATAATTGTCTGATCCTAATCTTTCAATTTCTTTTCATTTTTCTGTTTGTTAGCCAATTACATTTTAAATTATTCCCAGTGTGAGTTGTTAAAGAAAAAGTTTGTTTTTTTAATCAAATGTAATTAGAAAGCGAGTCACGACTAAGTATCAGCCTTGTCTCCAGGAAAAAAGGAACATCAGCCACAACTTTGTTTTAGCTTTTCCTGCTCTAATTTTGATCTTTCTAATAATTATTTAATAAAATAAATTTGGTTCCCCCACTTTTTGAAATCCTAACTCCCCCAGAATTAGGTCATACAATTTCCTAGAAATGTGTCGGTTGCGTGGCAGCGCGTGTGGGCAGTTGGTGGCAGGACTTGCAACCAACCACAAGAGTCCTTGAGAAGGAGCTGATAACTGCCCTAGCCAGTGACCTCCCACTTCATTCAGCCACTGGACTGAACAGAGACTGTTCTGTTGTCTCTCTGTGATTTCTCCTTCCATCGAACCTGCCCTACCTACAAATCCCCTGTCCTGCTCTAGACAAAGACATCAGCAGAGTGAGCCTATTGAGGTACAAATGCATACACTGCTGGAAAGTGGGTGGCCTGGACCAGGGCCACGTGAATTCCGTTCCGAAGTTGAGACTGTGCATTTGAACCCTAAACATCATCTGCACTTAGCCCAACACAATTTCCATTCAAGCTCTTTTTAATGCAATCCTTTCTACTGCAAGCTCTACAGCTACTTGCCACGTCAAGATAAGCCAAGTGAAGTCGTCCCAAACTTCAGCAATAGATCGTCTTCAAGCTACGCCCTAATATATTGTGGCGCCGCGCCCCTTCAACGAAGGCAAGGGCGCCCTCCTCCACGAGGCGCGGCGCGGCGCGTCGGACGGCAGGTACCGGAGGGACGAGTCTGTTACGACCAAAGTACACCGTCCCCCAAGAAAGTTCAATGATATCTGGCCTTCGTTTAAATGATGCTTAAGGGAACTTCATCGACCGCATTGAAAAGAATCATTGGCTGGGTTTAAGAGAGTGACGAATTCTGGGCTTCCACTTATTACGAGAGAGCAGTTCCTACACCTGCGGATTTTCTTTTGGCTTTTTTTTTTCATTTTATCAATTAAATATGACAGAAATTAATATTACTTTTCAAGCACGGGGGAGAGAACTGAAAGAAAACTGTAAAGGCGCCCTCTATAAACACCATGAAGCACAAGGCGACAGCACACGACGCGTCGTGGCATCGTGGGTCTTTTCGTGCGTCGTGTTGTGCTTCAGGCGACGTAATAGGTGATGCAATGCACGACACGACGTACGACGCGACGGGCGACGGAAGGGGCGACGTTTGGGCGGAAAAATAAAGCATGGAAAGGACCCAAGACGCGACGGGCGGCGGCACGACACGACGTGTCGTGTGTGTACACACATATTTTTGTGTGTATATACGGTGTAACATCCCGTTACAACGTTTGCAACTTCAGGAAGTCAATCAACCAGTCTGGTCAAAGACCGCTCAGTGGACGTTACTCTATTAACCAGAAAGAGCTGTCAATTATTTTTCCTAAACTTCAGAGGAGGAGAAGTAATACCGTTATACTCTTTTTAAATTTCATTGCATAGACATTTTATCCGTCTGGGATGTTAGTAATTTACCCAGGGATCGAAGTTGATTGAAATTTTTCTAATTTTCCGAAATTTTATTTCTGGGTATTTTTTAGCTTCACACTAAATGTATGATTTGGAGATATGTCGCTCTATTATTTACTGTCTTTCCAATTTACATCGCATTTTTTCAAAAATGACAATACGTTTTTTTTGCATAGAGAAACAGCAGATTTCAATCATGCCTGCCCAAACATGATGCATGGGATATTTGGTAACCCACAGCGGCTAGTTTAAACGCAGAGACAAAAATCAATGACTACGTTTGTTTAGATCCCGACTACGGATTAGTCCCCCCAAAAAGAAACCTTCAGTCGCGCATTGTTAAATCTTAAAGGACATCTCGTCAGACTGATTTGTGAATACTCACAACCAGGAGTCCTGTCTGACAGGGGACCAGTGTAGTAGCTGGGACTTCTTCCAGAACGTCGCATCCAGTAACCTGCATCGTCCCACGATTGCTTCCAACCACACATGCCATGTTCAAACGTGCAGTCAAAACCCAGGCTTGCTGTAATAAACAATACAAATGCGTTGAGCATGTTTGTAAAAAAATTAGAAAAAATTGGTATGCTGAGATGGTATCTGTATAGTACAGGGTTACTTAAACTGATCACGATTTTTTTTTGTTTCACGTGAAAAGTACAGCCGATCCTTATGTTGTTTCGGTGAAAGTGTTTGATGAAATTAAATTTTACAAAATGGTTGAAGGATCTCTAATATTGGATAATAAATGACATACTGTTACCCGGAGGGGGCCAAATCGGGACAATTGTCCCTCCCCACTCCCATCCAGGCTACGCCACTGACATGATGAGATTGTTCTGGTTGTTTTGAGTTAATGAACAGCTCTTAATCTGGTTACTTTAGTTCCCCCTTTTGATTTGGACCGTATCTCCCTTTGCCGATTTTCTGTTTCCAGACTCCCTGATACCGCTCTGACCCCGTCAATCAGGTCAACTTATTCAAACTCGTAGGCGATATTGAAATAACGAATGACAAAGAAAAAAAACGACAACATTGGACTGGCATTCTTCTGGTTGCTGATTTCCTTTTGTTTATGTGGAAAGAGGCAGTATTGTGTGCAGTACCACCATTGCTCAAATTATAAATGATCAGTGATTCAATGGGGAGAAACAGCCAGAAAAAAATTGCTCCAGCAAATCCTACATAGCAGCCCATCCCGCCAGCAACTGTCGCCAAACAGAAGTATCGAGGTCACGCTGTTGATATCCGGGGGTTGGCAAGGTCCAAGGCTGCACAATTGAAATTATTGTTTCCCCAAACTTGTTTCATGTATCATCGACTGTGTTCGGTCACGTCGAGGACAGGAAATGTTTTGCCTACATGCACTCCTGACAGGCTAACAGAAATAGCCATGAGGAATGCTGTTCCCCAACAGTTGCTGTTAGGCGAGCATTTTTTAATCCATAGTTTTGAACACGGCTTGACCTGTGGAAATCCCCCAATGGTGATCTATGCTAGCAAACTCAGTATCGTAGCTAGGCTCTTCTAAGGAGAGTTAGGGTCAATAGTTAGGGCCGGTCTCCTCCCCCGGCTACGTAATGTGTCAATTCTGCTTTTAAAGAAACGGAAGGCCAGCGGAGCCCCTTTGGACAATATCCACTGGACATTATCCGCCGATGGCTACGCAGATAGTGCCATCCTTTGAATATAAATTTACAAAATTCAAGCAAAATGTAAATAGACCTTACAGAGAAGCCATTTTTGATCTTGTTCCCAGAATCCATGGTGGTGCCAGACTATTTGAGGTAAAAGTCTAACTTTCAAGGTGTTTATTTGCTGAAGACATATAGGTTCTAATTCATTATGACTTTTAAATTATTCTAATGGGACACTAGCATTTATTTGTAACAACGTTTCGTTTCATTGCTGGTATCTCCACTCTGTTTTCCCAAAAGAAAAGCTAACGTCACTTTCAATTCAAGATGGCCGACACTTGAATACTTCTATTGTATCTTTCTTTGTTGTCATTGTTTAGGTTTTCTTGTCTCGTCTTGTGCAGCTCCAAACCCAGAGCATGTGGTCCCTGGCACTGATCTCTGTATAAGGTCATTTCCTTGCAAAACTTACCCTGTGTAAATCTTCATGTTATGTCGGAACCGACATGTCACAATTTATGCACAGGATGTGCGATTATGTTTATTGCAAATTTATAGGTAAATACTTTATGTATGTATAATAATTTTCACTTCGCAAAACTACTTCCTCGGCATCTAGACACAATTGTTACATTTTCCCTTCGTTTATAGATTTCCACATAAAAATCGTTTGTTGAAAACATAAATATCATCCTTCTGGGGACAACTCAAAGAGGTTAAAAATATGTCAAAATATACAACCAGGCCTCGTCTAGGTCCCATTTATGATCTGTCCTTACCTCTTACGAACAACGACAGTCCAAGCATGAGACCGCAGGTCAGACTGATGCATGCCATTTTCTATGGCTAGGTTTCCTCTTCTTGCAAAGTTCTTGGCCTTTCTGGGATTCTCTCCTTATGGTTCAAAAGACCTAAGTAACAAAATTAAGAGGCAACATCCGGTATCCAAGTCCGTATTCCTGCCCTCAATGTCTGCCTTTCAAAATGTCCACAAAATGTCGGAGAAGTTTATTCTCGACTGAGGTATGATCAGCTAGCTTCAGCTGGCCTCGCTGGTGCACCTTGACGTTTTCATCGACAAGTTGTGTTACTTTTCTCGCTCAGTTTTGTATTAAAAGGTCGCTTTCCAAACCCTGGAGATTTCGCAATGCTACTTTTCTCTTGATAGAAAAATTCAATAATAATAATAATGTTGAGCCTCTCCGGTTCTTATCAGAACCACACAGACTCAAAAAAGAGATATTGCATGGTGTTTACCGCAAGCTTTCCATCTTAATAATAATGTAATAATAATTACCGCTAATGGATCATTAGGGAGACATTCCCATAAGAACGTGCACAAAAACTACACGTAATACACCGTACACATTAAACCTCAAACGAAACATCCCAAATGCTTCATTAAAAAGATAGGTCTTAAGATCGGCTTTAAAATCAGAGAAAAGTGTAATTTGTCTGAATGACACAGGCAAGTCATTCCAGAGCCGAGGGGCACGGACATTACACGCTCTATTTCCGGAATCGACTTTCTTTGGACGTTTCCATTCAAGAATTGGAGCTGAATTAGCTATAGTTTGTCATTGACATTGTGTGGGAGTGGGAGACTTCGACAAGCAGGTCTTGTGCCCCAAACGGCTCTGAAAACAAATATTAAAAGTTTGAATTTAATCCGCTGCTGAACAGGGAGACGGTGTGGACGGTAAAGAATTGGTGAAATATGTTCGTTCTTTTTGTTCCTGTTAAATTTGATTTTGAGGCTTCTAGAGAAGATTTAACTCATACAAAGGACGACCATAATATAGCGCATTGCCAAAATCCAACCGTGAGGTTATAAAGGCATGGACAATGCTAACAAGAAGTTTGCTGGGCAAAAATTTTTTAACAGCAGCGACCACCTCCGAAATGTGCCTATGAAAAGTCAAATTACAATTGAATACAGCCCCAAGGTTGCGAGCAAATTCACTAGGATGGATATTGGTGTTACCGATTTTAATACTGACATCATTTAGAGAATGTTTCTGATGTGGAGAGGGCAATACAAGAAATTCGCTTTTTCAAATCATTGAGTTTAAGCTTATTTTCTAACTCCATACTTTAAATCGTGGAGGTCAGACATACTAGAACCAACTTTGACCCTAAATTTAGGAACATGCAAGTATTAGATTCGAACCATTTAAGGGCTTGTCAATAAACACCAAATACATTATGCAATCTATCAATAAAAATATGGTTTTGAACCACTGAAAACTAAAGTTAAACACTTGTTTACCTGGTTTTTAAGTTTCAAGTGTCCCGGACAGTTGACTCGCTTATGATCGCATTGCAATGCATGTTTTTCTTCCACAGTCGCACGCGGTCACTCAAGGGTAGTACTAGTCCCGACATGTCATGATTTTAAAGGTAGAGTGGAGTTTTGTCGTTCTCAAAACAACAACAACAAACAGTAACTAAAAGGGCGATAAAAATTAGAACAAAAAGACCAGAGGAGTTCAGCCCCCAGCGAGTTGAAGGGTTTCTTCTTACCTTTACTCTTGCAAACAGTCTTAATTTTTGTGCATTACAGTTACTTGCATCACATTTGGAGATTAATCTAGCAATGTGGACACTCATTCTCCCTCCGGTAGTGTTACAACGAGGCTGCGTGCTCCAGGGAGTTGCGAAGCCTTTGAAATCATTCTGGCTGATTTTCCTGCCAAATAACCAGGCCATAGTGATTTCCACCCACTCAATTCCGTACAGTCCCAAAGTAAACCAGAGCAGGATATACCAGCCAGTATCTCACCAAACTATAATTGCTGACCACCTTTTGGTGAACCCTGACTCTTGTGTACAATTTATATTCCATGCAGTGTATTCGTGTCTGACGGACCAATATGACATAACTATTCTTTAACTGATTCATGCGTCTTGTTTTCTGACTGCTTTGTGGGATGTTTTGTGTTAAAGTTAAGTACTTAACGCCCACAGATCTTAAATGGAGACAGGGAGTAACTTTCGAAATCAACAAGAAGGTATCCCAAATGGGGTGATTTCTAAGCAGCAACGTCAGAGGTTTCGAATGATAACGAATGGACCATGACTGTACAAAACACTGTGAAGCTTTTACCGAGGACTAATGCTGTACAGTTGTGTATGCGTTCCTTACCTTTCAAATACAAAGCTTATTTTTTGAAAAATCAAAGTTATGAACAAAGTCTATACGGTCGTCCACATCTGTTGTGCACGCAGTATTAAAATGAGTCTAAATTGAACGTGTTATAATGATTAAATACTATTCTTCACTCATAGGTTAAACTTCCTGTTTGTTAAGAGATTATATGCTCATTTTGGCAACGGTTTGGAAAGGATCCTTGGCGACTTTCAGATAAATTCTAGAATATGTTTTACATCAAATTCTTGTTTTAACTTTTAAAAATGGTAGGTGTTTAGAAGGTATTGTGGCGGAAAAGTGTACGAACTTTCGTAATTTTTGTTGTGCATGATAATGAGGATTAGACAAAGGTAGTAGTGGGTACATTTCCTGTGACGTAAACAGGATGGGCGGAGCGTGGCGCTCTGTGTACGTGTAGGTAGTAAGCTCTGTTGTTTGCGCGTGTTCAAACCGAGCGCGTAAGTGGGCGGAGCTTGTTTTTTTTTTTGTTAGGGTTTCTGCTAGTTCATCGAAGTTGTATCGACGTGAGTTCTTCTTGGCGCTCTCGCTGTGGCGCGTGTTGCTATAGGGCGTGGCGAATGCTGCTATATGCTAGGCTCAGGCAGTCTGTCTCCGTGTAGCATTAGTACGCTCCAGCTGTTCACTTGCCGGTGCATTATAGTAGATTGGGTCGGGCCCAAGGTGCCGAAGTGCTTTGGGCATGCCAGCCGTATCGCTAGAGTGACACAGGGCTACGCAATGCAATGTTGTTTACAGTAAGCGCGCAGCCCCTCCGTTAATGAGTATTTTTGGCAATTCCATTTGCACGCGAAAACGATTTCACGAGTACATGGTGTTTTGCGAGAAAAAGCGAGAATACAGTAGTGTCCCTTCAACCCGCCAGGAAATCTGTTGCTTCATTCGTGGGTCAAAATGGCTTAGTGAGTAGATAGTTCACGTTTTTCACCATCAATAAAGTTATGTTTCGGCAATGATCGACAATTTCCTAACGATTTATTTGGACCCAAACTTGCTTAGTGTTTTTCACGAAAATCGCAGGCCCCCTCTTTTTAAATGCACCTGACTGTTTTGCAATTACTGGATAAAACTGAGTCACGAAAAGGATTAAACATCTGTTTAATACCAACATTTTTGTTGCCGGACCAATCAAAATTATAAAGTTTTATGCACCACTCACTCAGCGAGACGAATGGTAAGACTGGTTCCCAGTGAACGACAAACATTGAATAGGTTTCCTTCGATGCAAAGTCTGGATTCCCGATTTCGGTCACACACATTTACGCGTATCTTTGCTGTCAATTGTTTGGCCAGAATTAGAGAGAATATGTCAATCAACCAATCACAGATAGTCTTTCATGAAACACAAACGGCAGTTTTCTCGGTTAATATCACGAAGTCTAAACCTGCGATAACAAAAATTTTTGGGTGCACTTGACTGTTTCGCAACGACTTGAAAAGTAAAAACTTATTGTTTGGCTGGATATGTGACATATCTATCTTTCTGCCGGCCCAGAGTTGGATCCACTGAAACCAGTTTGTTTGTTTTTTGGTACCCTCATTTTTACACAGAATGCCTACGTTTACGGCTAATATCCTTCGAAAGAGACTGCGAATATTTTTATTTTTTACAAAGGACATGAGACTGATATCTTAACTGTTCATTTATGTAAAGATATTCCATTCTTAAAGGTAACACAAGGTGGTATACAATTTTGAAAAGTCAACTACACAGTTCATTGCGTATGCATGATTCAGACAGCCGTGCATACGTAGCAAATGAAAGGAGCAGCTTTTACGGGTGCTGCGCGCTGACTGTTTGGTAGTGCGACGTTGAGATGTGCAGTGCTACTTGGGTCCAGCGTTGGTAATTGGTCTCCTGTTGGCAACGTTGAATGTGCATTGCTGATAGCGTTCATGTGATGCGACATTATTTTGTGCATTGCATGTACGACTTGCGCGAGGAGACGTTAGTCAGTGCGTTGCTGATTGGCGCGACGCAGTGCCATATTAGCTGTGTGTTGCCAATAGCCTCTCCTCAAGACCACGCAAAGCAATAGAAGTTGTAATAAGCTTAACCAATACGAATTATCTCTAATCACTTAATCAATTAATTATTCGTTGAATGTGTGAATAAATCACATTGTTGTTGAGGTTACTGGCAATCTAATTTTCAGGTGTCCTTGCTGTTGTGAATTGTGTAATTGGCAGAAAGCATCACAGTCATCATAACGGGCGGTATATTTCCACCAAAAGGTATCTGCTCCCTTAACCTTTAGGTCGCTTTGAGTGATCTCTGGACCGAGAAGGAACCCAAGTTTAGGCTGGAGTCGAGACCCCCACCGGTTTCAGACTTGATCCTCAAACGTGAGCTTTAGGGGGAGGACACCTCTGAGGGAGCAGAGCTCCTGGATAAAACCCCGGGTGGAGTCTACGCCGATTGCCAAGGAGCGTGAGGGTCAGGACATGGAGGACCTGATGACGTTCCTATCGGGGCAAGGTGGAACAGAACGGGGGAAGAGTGCTAACCTGTTCGTAAGTGACAGGGGAAAGGGCACCCCTAAGCAGGTGCACGGCGAACTGTTTTGCGACTCGTCCAGACGAGGCGAAAGACAACGGTTCAGGCAGAAAGGGTAACAGCTCGTCAGTGGGTCCATGGACACTGAAACGAGAGGCACGTCTCTATAATGACGAAGGTCGGGGGGGAAAGCTTAGAGCGCACAACCCGGCGCCCGAACATAACTCCTGACCGGTACAATGCTCTGGAAATAGTACTTCCGCCATTTGAGTCATGTTGTGAGGTGAACCAGTGGAATGAAGAGCAAGCTGCCCGATGGTTGGCTGCAAGCGTGCAAGGTGATGCCTTGAGGTTACTAGGTGACTGTGGCCACAGCACACATACACTGCGCTGGTAAAGTTGCTGGAGGAGAGATTTGGTTCTGCTCGACAGAGTGAAAACTACCTGGTCGAGCTGCGACATAGGCGGCAGAAGCCGAAGGAGGGATTGCAGGAACTTGGGCAGGCAATCCATGCGTTGACGGTGAGGGCATACCCTGAGATACAGGAGGATGCTTGGGAGAGGTTGGCCAAGAACCACTTCTTAGATGCTGTTGATAGCCATACGGTGAGAGAGGGCATCCATAGGGCCCGTCCTAAAACTTTGGACGAAGCTGTCCAGGCTGCCCTGGAAACTGAAAACTTTGAGAGGGTTGAACAGCATCGGATGCTGGACCGGAAGCCCGCCAAATTGGCGAGAGCTGTGGTCTCTGAAACTGAGCAGAAGTTGATGACTTTGGAGGAGAGTCTGAGTTTAAAACAGGCCAAGACTTTGGAGACCATGGCCGATTGATAAAGTCGTTGTCAGGTCAGAGCTTCTCCGAAGACAGGCAAGCCTGCCACTACCGTTCCTGGTGCTTTGAAATATTTCAGGTGCGGAGAGAAAGGGCATTTTGCCCGGGAATGTGCAGAACCCCGGAAGCAGGGAAACGGCAATCAGCCCCCTGTAGGACCTGCAGGCTGGCTGAAAGGGTCCAAAGACAACGCAGAGACAGTAACAGTGGTGGAGGACATCCAGAAAAGGAGTGGGGCAACGAGCGATATTCTGCCTGATCTCAGTCTAGGCCCTCGTTATGGGTTGTTTGTGGATGGAATGGTCAGGGCGACAAAGCGTCGATTCCTAATCGACACAGGGTTCACTGACACTTTGATAAGTAGTACGGTATACTACAAAATGCCGAAAGAGAAGCGACCAATTCTGGATACAGAAGGGGTCCAGGTGAAACAAAGTGATGGTAGTCCATCAGATGTGCTGGGCATAGCGTGGGTTGAGGTGCAATTGGGACAGATCATGCACCAGGTGAAGGCATTGTTTACTGAGATGAAATACACTGGTATCCTGGTCATGGATTTGCTGGTGTCCACTGGTGGAAGTTTAGACTTCCAGTTGAAGGAATGGAGACTGAATGGGGAGCGAATCAAGTGCACCAATGGTGTGGGAAACCCTTTGTAGGACGAGTTGTAGCTTCTAGGACGACAGTTGTTCCACCAAACCATGAGGCGTTAGTCCCAGGTAGAATTGTCCGGAAGGGTTCCGACTTGCTCGGGCCAGCAATGGTGGAACCGATTGAAGGTGGAGGTGACTTTGCACAGAAGGGGTTAGTGTTGGCCCGATCCCTGGTCGAGGCTGATCCCAAGGTTATTCCATTTAGGGTGTTTAACCCTGGGGGAGAGAAAAAGGTGGCCTGTGAGGGGACAACGGTGGGTGTTGTCTCCCGGGTTGAGACTAGTTCCATTCAAGAGGATTTGGACTTGGCAGTGAGCGCAATGCATGATCTTCCCGTGCATTTGCAAGACTTGTATGCCAGGTGCACAGGGGATGTTGAGAAGTTGAAGTATCATGGCGAGATCCGGAAGTGTCTGGTCGACTTCCAGGATGTATTTTCCAGGGGTGATCACGACATTGGTCGGACTGATGTGGTGGAGCATCACATCAATACGGGAGATGCCAGGCCGGTGAAAGAGCGGCCTAGGCGTCAACCGTATTGTAAGCAGAAAGAAATTCAGAGGCAAGTCAGTGAGTTTGAGAAGAGGGGAGTAACAGAACCCTGTGACAGTCTGTGGGCAGCAAATATTGTTTTGGTTGGCAAAAATAAGATGGATCCCAGCACTTTTATATTGATTACAGGAAGATCAACGCAACCACCATCAAAGACTCATATCCAGTGCCTGGCATCGATGAAACACTTGATGCGTTGAAAGGGGCGAGGTCGTTTTGTGCACTTGACGAAGCGTCAGGGAACTGACAGGTCGCTCTGGATGAAGACGCTTGCCGGAAGTCGGCATTTGTTGTCAGGAATGGGTTGTACAGGTGGAAGTGCGTGCCCTTTGGGCTATGCAACGCCCCGGCAACCTTTGAGCGGCTCATGGAAAAAAGGTCGTGGCCGGCTTGCAATGGGAGATTTTGTTGATCTATTTTGACGATTTGATTGTCTTTGGTCACACGGTGACGGAAACCATTGAGCGTCTTTGGGTGGTACCGGACAGGTTGAGGAAGGATGGGTTGAAACTGAAACCCACCAAGTGTCACCTGTTCCAGAAATTGATGATTTATCTGGGGCACGTTGTGTTATCAGAGGGAGTGGCAACAGATCCGAAAAGGTGGAAGCGATGGCGAGTTGGCCAGTCGTCAAGCTCAGTATTTGGCAGACCAATTTTGGAGACGCTGGGTGCTTGAGTACTTTATTGCATCTTCTTGAGAATGGACCCAGCGAGTTGGAGATTTGGTCCTGGTAGCTGACGAGAATGTGTCTCGTGGTCGTTGACCTTGGGAAGAATCATCCAAACCTACCCAGACCGTGAGGGCAACGTCCGACAGGTGGAGGTCAAGACCGGTACCAGCTTCCTGAGACGACCAATCACCAAGCTGTGCCTCGTGGATAGCGCCAAGAACTAAGCCTCAAGTTTCAAGCTGTGTTAGGACGTTACAAAGGTTTTTGGAAATGAACATTTTACTCGCTGATTCATTGGTGATGGGAATATAACGTCGACCTGCCAGATTCGTTATTATCATAGTTTGTATAAGGCGCCCCCATTTGTTCATTCACAAAATTTAAGTCAGGGGTCGTGCATATTCAAGTAAACTTGGGGCATTTTGCGAGGTAAAAGGTGAATATTTGGGCATAGTCCGACTTTTTTGGATCGCCATATTGAGTGTACGTGTATAGGGTTGAAATTTACGTTTATTGGATAGTCACTCACTTTTGGTTTATTACAGTGTACTAGACAGCCGCTACACGTTGCTAGACAGCCGCTACACGTTGCTAGACAGCCGCTACACGTTGCAACACACTTTTTGAGGGGTGGGTGAGCTATTGAATTATCCCCACACATTTTTGGGATGAGCAAACGAATAAAATCGGATTGTGAAGAATTTCCTACATTTCCACGACTAAAATGTTTTCAAGATCACTGAAAAGGAAAAGCAATAAATTTTAATTAAAAGCCATAAATATGCCATTCTGGTGTAAGATTCTGTATGAATTGAATACACATTACAGATATACATCTTTATCATGAACATCGCCCCTATACAGTTTATATGGAGTGTCCTCCCCCTTATTTGAAGTTTCCATAGCCAGGCAAGTCATCCGCCCCCTCCCCTTCACATCCCCCCAATTTCAAGCACAGAGTTTCGCCACTGGTCGCCAGCTAGGTCTCAGGAGTTTATACTGCCTCCACGGAAACACTTCCATATGCCTTCCAAAACTCCCACTTAGCCCCACCCCAGAATATCCCAGTTAAGTCCGTCACAAATATTCCACATTTGTCACAACACTACACCACTCAAAGCTTCGTAAAGAAAGTTGATAAATTCATAAATGCTATTACTGAAATAGGACTTAACAGGTAATGATAAACACAAAACTGGTCTTTTTCTCATGCAATGCTCTCTGTTCTTTTCAGTAACACGTTAGCAGTCCACAATTAATCTACCTCCTTTGTTGTGACTGTAAGCACATCTTTACAGACTCTGGGGAAACCACTTTCACTTGTTTGTTTATTTATACTTATTCATTGGAAAAGAAATGAACATTAAAGTACATCTACGTATGCAGTTTTTGGAAATCAAATATGATGATTTTAAACATCAGCTTGTGCCCTGTCTTTCAAATCTATTTGAGACATTCAAGCAGGCATATATAAACAGATTTTACATTAATTTAGCGTTTAAGTGGAGACTTCCACGATTTCTCAAGGCACCCTGCAGACAAGCTGTGGACGCTGTAGTGTACCGGAAGTGATGTATGTGCGATTTTCCATTTGTGGACACTAGTAGCTGCGATTCACAGTGATTGAGTTGCACTGCCCAGTGTTTTCCTCCACGGGGGCCACTTTGAAATTCACTGTCCACAGTTCAAGTCCTGCCTACATCCTGACTCCATAAACTCCTCAATCCTCACATTAGTTACTTGGATGTGGTACCAAAATCACAACGTAATTTGCCCGTCTTTCAAAAACTCATTATAAAGTAGACGGCACGCGTTTGTTTGGGTATATAGCAAACACGAGTTGATCGATTCAGTTTCGGTCTAGCTGGTCTAATCATTATTTCAGTGCCACATAACTCTGAATGTGTCTATCTAAATCAAACTGAAGTCAGAGGAAACTGATCATCTTGAAATTTGTCCCTTCAATAACTTGAGGGATAATGGCGTCATTATTTTTGAAACTTCACGAAATAACGTTTACGTCTAACAAGTGGTTTACATCCGCTTTCGTAGAACTAGGCCTATAGCAAACAAAATCTGAAATATGAAAATACTGTTTTTGAGAGGGCGCCCTTTCAAGCTATGATGTCAGCAATCTTTGTTCAGTGCTTATCATATACTAATAAATTTATTTGTAATGTAATTTGGTTGGAAGTACAAAAATCCTTTCGTTTTTGAGTTTCAACCCAATATCATTATACTTCCGGTTTTCCCAATAGTTGAAGTCATGTGATTCTCCATTGCAATCAGTTATCTTGCCAGGTCTCTAAATGTGAAGAATTTAAATTCCATCAATTTCACAAGGAGAAATGGCGAGAGGAGAGATTTAACCAAAAACGTCACTGTTTTCAGCTCATAGCTAATACTGTAGTTAGCGATGAGAGAGAAACTGTATTATAAAAACTCCTTTATATTAACTTACGAAAAGTTCATCAAGTAACTGGCACATTTTGGCCAACTTCCTGCAAATAAAGAGAACGATGCAGCATGAGCAGAAGAGGCAATATGACAGCAGTTGAGGTCACGTGATTCCCAATTGTAATCAGTTATCTTGCCAAAGATATGATTTACCAGGTCTCTAAAATGTAAAAAAGTTGAAAATGCGCTGGAAAACCTTAACCTGAAGGTTGGTTGGTCGAGATAAAGTTGAGCAAATCGATGCGAGTTGAAATGCCGACAACGACCTCTTTGGTAGTGATGCCCGCGTCCTTCGTGCCTATAAGACAAAAGAAAGGAAAACATGACCCTCATCACGCGCCTCTTACACCGTGTCTCCTTACCTGCGACTGTTGCCCGTTTGCGTCACAATTATGATCTTGGTTTCTTGGTATTTGGAAATTATGTGTCCTTTATTTGGAAAACATTTATAAAAACCCATATCAAATCCAAACCTGGAAGAATCTTCTACACAGGTCGCAATGCATGAGTGACTTATTAAAATGTCCGTTGGCCAGGCCCAAAGCCAGAATAGTTTACTTCTTGGATCCGAGCTTGCGTTACCGTACACTGCAAAAACTGGGGTGTTACATTTAACATCCGGTGTTATCAGAGGACAACACCAACACTTTTAAGAGGTGTTAAAATTTTCAGTGTTATTTCAACACTCTTGGTGTTGCTTCTAACACCCACCAGGCCACTGTAACACTTGTAGGTGTATAGAGTAACACTGGTGGTATTAAAGTAACACCTTATGGTGTTGTCATCTGATAACAACAAAAACCGTCGTTTTTAACACCACAGTTTTTGCAGTGTATGAAATCACCATAACACAATTCTGGCATTCTGCAAGTGTTGATTCACACATTCGACAAAGAAGACTACGGATTAGAAAAGTGTCAGATGGTATAAACCAAATGAACTGCTATGAACCATGCATTCATCTCCTTCCCACAGCCGCGGAAGGATCATGGGAGGACAAAACACATTAAACTCTTTTCTGACCACCGACTGAATTCACAGACTACGATTTTCTCTGTTACAACGGTAGGGCTTCAGAATCCTTTCAAGCTGGCTCTACCCGACGAAAGGAAAAAGCGACGCGGTTTCCTTTTCTGTCCCAATCTCGATTAAAAAACAACAAAAACAAAACAAAAAACCCTCATACCTCTACATGAGCAATGTTAAATTAACTGACTTTTAGGCTGAATAGCCTCTTCTTTCTGCTACAAATTTCAACTCATCACAAAGTTGTTTCGTGAAAGCACTTCACTCTACTCACAGACGTTCTGCTTTTGTACGACAAGCACAAAGTGGTCTGTATCCAAGATGCGCGATAATTGGCCAAGCGTGATGTCCAGGGTCACCTGAAATGATTAGGTCAAGATTTACAAGCTTTCTCGTAAACACAGCATCCTTTCATCTCAATTTTTTTAATCAAAAAGGTAAGAAAAGGTCAATGCATCAGTTGCTTGTTTTTTTAATTCTGTATGAATTAACGCCATTTTTACCAAATTATAAAGTAGTACAGGAAACTGTACATAATTATTGAAATGCTTCGTATAGACACATGTGAAAGGCAAACAAATAAAACAAACTGTCGTCAGTGATACCTTTTTGAACTGCTTGTACAAGACTTCATCAACTTGCGCACTTGAGTTAATACGGCCAGCGACCAGGTGTGACATAAGGCTGCCAAGGGTGACCACACCCAAAGCTTCCCTGCACAGAGATCATTCATTGTAAAAAACCTTGTATATGCATTTCTTGTCAGTCGCCTTTGTTTTCCATTTTACCCAATTCGTGCAATTTTGTATTCTCGTCATTGCACATTTGTATATTTAGGGGCAAGAGTCTGACATTCTTGTCAGTTATTTCAGTCCCAATATTACTCAGCATTTTGTATAATCTTTTTCTGTCTAAATGTCCTTCTCTGCCTGTTATATACGCAACACTGTATCTGTTCCGAAGGCAAAGAGTCGAACACACTGAAGTTTTGAAGCCTGATTTTGTCCAGAATAATGCTTCAGAACGACTGAACCTCACTATTCAAATCCACACGCTATGTTTATACACACACTCTGAAAAGAAATAACTTACCCAGATTCCGCCACTACCGGCAGTTGATGGAAACCTTTGCTGTTCATAATGCCAATCGCTCTCTGGCACGTCACTGTGGGCTCAACCGTCAAAAGTGGGTTGAACTTCAAAGCAGAAACTTTTAAATTCCACCACCTTTCAGAGAAGCAACGGCGAAAGGAGAGATTTAACTAACTGTTTTCAACTTACAATTAAGTGCGGCTGCATTTTTAACGATGAGAAAGCGAACAGACATTTTGCATTTTGACTTGCTTTGAGCGATGGGCAATGTTTTTCTCTACTTAAGGGGTGGAGAGATAATTACCTCGTCATATTGATATGATACATATTTCGTACCATCTGCCGCACAGTACATATGAGCAGTATTCATGATTATCTGCGAACGTTCGTTTAGCAGGCTTTGACTGCAGCACCTCTGTCCTTTTTTCCACCACTTTCCAAACATATAAATATAAAATTCACACCTCTGATCTGGCAAATATTCTGCGACGGTATTGTACTACTTGTGTGCATGTTGATAAACACCCTTCACGAAACTCCTCCGATTTCAGAAGTCATTCCTGCAGACTGACAAACACAACACGTTCACTGATCGAAGTAATTTGATAACGACCAACCATTCCTTTTCAGGGTTGTGTCCCAACTCGTACACCTTCTCCAGAAATCCCTTCTCCAACATCCAGTCATCTGATAAGAACTTGGTCCTTTAGGAGAACAAATCGAAAGAAATCTGTGATGTCCAAACGCTGTGATCCGATCGAATATCAAGAGAGCTTTAAGTTAATCAAAATCTCCGATAATCGAAGTGCAAAGGTTTCCAGGCAGCCGCCAAATTTGAAACACATTTATAGAGTTAGTTTGCCCGAGCAAAAGTCACAAAAGCAGAACTGACCAAGTAAAATGTCATGTAATTATACACAATGCACTGTGCATACTATGCTGGCTGGTAAATTGTTTTGCTGAGCAAAATACCTTATGCTTCTCGCGAAGCTCCGTGCTTAGCAATCCTGTGTAATTTTAGTAAGGAGTCATGTAAAAACAAGCAATTGCATGGCAATGTGAAGACCGTTGAACACAATCAGCCCCTCAAGCTTTAACAGCGATTGCACGTGCACACTGTTTGCAGGCAGTGCGTATGGATCTACATAAAGGTTGGACAGTGGTTGACTCCGCCCCCCCCAAAAAAAAAATTGGGGTTAACCATCAGATTTCGATGCACTTCCATCAAACGCACATTTGTCGAAGACGTTTGGACTTGTGATTGACGTCATGGGGCCTGCCCACTGACATAAACTGAAGTTTAAAGTTACAAAACAGTCTGTTGGATATGACATCACAGATACCACGAATCCAGCGTGGAGAGGAGGGTAGGTTGACTTTTGGATATAAATTATGCATGGGACAGACATTCATATTATGCATATAAATAAAAGATGAGAGTTGTGTTTAGAAAAATCCTCCCCCCCCCAAACTAGAGACTTAGACACGCCTCCGCGATAAGGAATTGTTAACACTGTGTGCACAGTCAACCATGGCGACAACAACTACCTCTTTATTAATTCTGATCGCCTAATGTTTCCCGACCATTCTGCTTAGGCCTTCATGATCAGCACCTGCTTCAAACTTAATTCGTCATGTTTCAGAATTGTCGAGTAACGTTACGTCATGCCGCTCTTACTCCCGGCAACCGAAATGCGTTTTATGGTTTTCAAAAACTTGACTCCATTTCAAGGAATGTGGTATTATGATTTAATACGCTGGTACGAGTAAAGCTAAAAGCACCGAGGGGTTCCGTGCAATTGAAAAAAACGCATGCACATTATGCCAGTAGGTCATTATGAACCCAATACTCGGTCATGGCTTGCTTATTACGTACATGTAGTTTCGCACAGAGTCTGGTAGAATAACCACGCACCGCTGGTTCTCAGTCAGAGACTTGGCCGCTCTCAGTGCTACAGAGACTGCGGCACCAGAACTCCCTCCTGTCGAGACAAATGTTCCGTTAATTTGGCGAAGCATAGACACTCACAGGGTAAAGGTAAAAATCTTAGATCATCTGTAAGGCTCGATCTCCCCTGAGGATCCGAAACACCCTTTGAATCAATGTTCTAACGGCACGGAAATGCTTTATTAGTTTGTGAGTTTTCGAAATACATTAGGTGTCTAACACACGTCTTGAAACCAATTATAATAATTTCAGACGTAGGTGTACTGTTTTTGCCAACTTTCTGATTCAATAAGAACCGACAAACTTTTTCATTCGCCTTTCTGAACACAGGTAGATTGACGAACGGAGAAGCGAAAATGTAACGACTATGCCTGGCTATACAAAGTGCTTGTTCAGTGAGATTGAAACTTGCATACAAGCACGTGTAGGCTATACTTCTTTATGCCGCGGAACGGCACGGTTCAAATCAAAGAGATAAGTTGAATGAAGGTTAACATATCAATGAAAAAACTAACCACGTTGCTGAAATACCTCTCATTTTGTTACCATAACAGACTGTGTTATCCCGAATGCATCACATGAAATGCAATCCTGGCTTTTGCCCCGGCTTCTGGATGTACAGATCCCTGGAAACCGTTCTTATCTAAGTACATCTCCGAAATTCTTACTCAAACTGAACTTCCCCGTTACTGTACCCTGCCCCGTTTGCAATTTTACCACATAGCAGTCCCTCTTCCTTGATCAATCTTCGAGCCATCAGGAACGACTCCTTGTCGTCGCATTTGTGCCAGGCGTCCGCCACGTCATGATCCAGAACGGTGGGCACAAAGTCGTAGCCGATGCCCTCCACCTCGAAGCACACCGTTTGATCCGTTTCCTCGTCGAAAGAGGGCACTTGCAGCGAAGAGCCGTGGGGATCGAATGAGATGATCTTTTGAGGGTTTTGGGAGGAAATCAAATTTATAATGCATATGCATCACAACACTTTACGCTTGAAGACGGAAGCGGTCGCTCATACTCTTGTAATGTTCCGTCGTCAAAGCAAGCCTGATGTGATTGATTATCATTTAATATAGCAAAAGGAACAAGAGAGCTTCTTTCCTCATCTTGCATACATGTACATGCACCTGATGGTATTAAAAGTTATGTAGAGTCTAGCTTATTTATAACGTTATGTGGTTGTTGATTCGATGTGCATTTGATTAACCTAGGGAGTCGCTGACGTAATTGACCTAAAAGTAATTGAATTGAAGTCATTGCTGGTCTCCGCCCAATAGCCCGGTCTACAAATAAGTATCAAAACGGTCCTTTTTAGTGGCATTTTGCTCCGTAGGTGTATTCTAGACCCTAGAACTATTAAAAACTGCAGAGAAAGGTTAGAGTAAGGCCAGGCTACTTTTATTTCCAGTCCTACTGAATTTGAAGGGAGGGGGTCAGCAGAGACCAAGCCTCCGTCACTCATCAATTGGCAAACCACAGCTATCCTCAATCTGGCCAGCCGTCAGTCAATGACTCTAAACACATCAAAGAGTGTCGCCAGCCTGCCAGACATGATATACAACAGGACCTGGCTAGCCCTGGCAAGCCTTGGCTCCGGCTGTGTAAATAAACCCACGGAGCCGCGTGGTGGAGTTGTCTATACACATTCAAATGGCATGTGGCCAGAGGTGGCTCGAGTATTTTTTTTTCTTTTGCTAAGTTGAATCCCCGACGTTAAAGTTGACTAAACTTTGCTATTCAGCATTAACAGAGGTAGGCAAAAACGGGAAAAAATTTATTAAGAAGTTAGCAAAAATCGACTGGGGCTCAGAGGCCATTCGCTTGACTCAAGTCAGCCGGATGCTAATGACAGGAAAATTCATACGAATGATTTTATTATGGAAGTATACCCTCATATATCAGGAGAAATTATTCAAGGTTCTTTACAAAACATCTGTCGCTCTAGGTTACTTTTTATGAAAAAATTAATAAATCCTCAAATAAATGAAATAAATCTGGAGAGAAAACACTGCTCTCTCATTAGCCAAACAATCAGTAAAAGTTTACTTTTGGGAAATTCAGAGCAATCCGTAGCGAGCAAGTGTCGTTTTGAAGATAGGTTTAGTACCCTAACAACTCACTTTGATATCAGAGTTCAACTCCTTCAGCTTCCGACCAACCCCGGTCAAGGTGCCACCAGTTCCAGCTCCCAAGACAACCATGTCGAGCTTTCCTATCCGATAACAAGAAAACAAAGCGGTCAAATTGGCGGTAGAATATCGCCACTGAAATGAAACTATAGATCATATTGATTAAAATTTCCAAAGAAAACTCACAGCTGCATGAGGAAAGTGTTGGGGATGAAGCAGTCTGTCATTGATGAAGAAAACGTTTCTCTAAACAAAACAAACAATGTGAACCTTCACACTGGTCCCAGATCTCCTGGCCTGTGGTATCGTAGTGGCCAGTGGGTTCCCTTCGTTCTTGTACTGATTCAATACGATGGAGTTTGGTATCTCCTTGTTGAGCCTCTGCGCTACGCTGACGTGTGACTCGGGCGAGTCGAACCTTGCCGAGGTGGGCGTGCGCACAATCTCAGCTCCCAGGGCTCGTAAGATATACACCTTCTCGTTACTCATCTTCTCCGGCATGACGATGATGCAGCGGTATCCCTTGACTGCAGCGGCTAGGGCTAAGCCAATACCTGTCAGAAGAAAAACGAATATTCTCAGGTCTTCAGGAAAATGAGTAATACCCGCTTTTAAGTGGCTTGCACGACCAGGCGCAAATTCTTGCCGACCCCAGTTAAGTCTTTTTGACGTAGTTTTTATTTTAATTTTTATTCCATCCCCTGTCCAGACTTCTTACTCACAGCTCAATAGTGGAAGAAAACCCAATTCACGTTAAACTTTGAATTCCGCGAACAGAAGATGCCAGTTGTTATTTTTTCTCGAGGTACTGTATATCGGTTTCCGGCAACGCTTTCTGCTAGCGCCTGGGCCCGTCCATGTAACTGGGCTGTAAATCATCCCGAGAAGGGTTAGTGTCAGAATAAATGCCAAGTGTTCATTTTATACTGTTTTCAAGAAAATGTTTCGGACAGGGCGTAATTACGGTCACATAGCACAAGTTGTTATGGAATGGCATGAAATAGTCGAGTCAAATTCAAATGCGTATCCATAGGCCTATTGGGCGATTCCCAATCGTGCCCCTCCAGGCGTTTGCAACGCGTTTACCAATCACAGTGCGCGAAATCTGTCGGCCATTTCCAAACGCACATTGGGTCGACAGATTTCAGGCACTGTGATTGGTCAACGCGTTGTAAACTCTTGGAAGGCGTACTAGTTGAATCGCTCATATTGAAGACTTCCATGTTGAAATCTAAGTCTGAAACGTGAATTCAAGTACTGACAGCCAATGATTATTAGAGGACTCAACAGGTTCAATTAGCAAAATTATTCAGAGGACTCAACAGGTGCAATTATTCACCTGTGTTTCCTGAGGTAGGCTCAATCAGGGTCATCCCAGGCTTCAAGATGCCTTTCCTCTCCGATTCTTCTACCATCCGCAGTCCGATGCGATCCTTGACGCTGCCGCCGGCATTGAAGTACTCGCATTTCGCCACTGTGTTCCAAGAAGGGACATTAATATGTAAGGTTTGCTATCTCATGAATAACTATAGCAGTACCGGTAATGAGGGGTGGTTATCATGCGGTATTTCCGAACGAAAACTTAGGAATTATATGAGTTCGTTTCACATCGCTTATCATGGTACAGAAATTGCCTTAAGGAAAGGCTTATAAAGGTATCCAGCAAAAAGGACGCATAACAGTGTCTACTGACCGATCTTTCCCAGTACCCTAGCTATATTTCCTTCGCAGGTTATCAAGGATAACCAACTAGCGGTACAAGTGGTCTTCTCTCGAACTTAACCAAAGATGCAAACTAAATGAGGGAGCAACATGGGGTTGGAACCATTTGCCTGGGAAGGCGGTTTATTTGGTTCCGTCACTTTATTTTTTTTAAGCAATCAAGTACCTTCTGTCTGCTCCAAATTCAGAGCAGGGAGGGCAAAGGGGAGTTTCATGCTTTAAACTCGGGATGTGTGCCTCTCTTTTCCCATCCAACCCCTAGTAAAACGTCACTGGATACAGGGTGCGAGACCAGGATGTGTCACAGTATTGAAACCTAAGAGGAATCCTGCATTAATAGAGTTTGTATGGTTTTTCTAAACACTGCAAGAGAGAGCCTGTAATGTTCTGTTCTTGACTGCGGGGGAAAATATTCGACCGTCGTGGCAGAAAATCAATCCCATGTATTCTTCCAATAATTGGAACTACAAAAATTCTTACACATCATCCTAAGATCGACCCAGGCTCTATTCACTCCATTTTGATTCTTAATCCTCTTGAAAGTCAATAAAATCGATAGTATTGATGATTGAACATCATTGGTCATGAATTTGACGGAATAGCAAGATCGAAACTTGATGACTTTGCGAAATGAAGCCTGGTATCGAGAGGCGAGAGGTCACCATAACTATTAAAAACATGTACTTACAAAGTTCACATTTCAGTCCGGCACTCTTCCCGATTTTGTTCATTCGGACCATAGGTGTGTGACCTATCACCTTCAAGATATCTGGCAAGATTTTCTTCCGATCTTCAAGCAGCTGGCTGTAGAGAGGACAACTTTGGTGCATTTCAATCAAGTAAATCCTTTTCAATCACTTGCATCTCGCAATTCATATTTTAGGAAAACAGACTTCTGATCTTGTGAGCACTATGAACAATTCATCCAACAGCGGCGCATACAGGATTTATCCTAGTGGGATAGGCCTCCGACAACAGGCTCCTACTCCGACTGGGCTCCGAGCTGGACCAAGAGAGGGCGCAATTTTCCTAGCAACGGGAGCTACTTTTGCAGTAACTGCGCATCGCTGGTTCACGAACGACTATGAAACGCAAGCGCTGCAGTCGCATTGCTACCAATAAAATGAACACTTCCGATCCAACCGATGAAGGGGTGCTTATGCTGGGGGCGGTATCAGGTATCTTCGTTTTTCATAAAGTAAAAAAATCAGGGGGAGCTAGGCTCAAGCACCCAAGCCCATAACCCCCCCCCCATGGGTATGCCACTGTCGTCTGTTGTAAACGTCACTTACCCATTGGACTCGTGGTGATGGGGGCTTGTCTTTGGATCAACACCTAGATGCCACGTACATCTTGAGGGTTGATCTGGAGGGATCCACTCTCTTTCAGATGACGTCATACTGCTGTATGATGTAAGCGACTCAACTCCGACAACGAAGAACGTTGAAGCACAGAGCTGTGACTGCATTGATAATTTTATAGTCATTAGGCCCATTCAGTTAAGCCAGCAAGGTCATTGATTTATTGTCTTTATTTCGACGTAATATTAATCACACTCAGTTGAAGCCTACCGTAGAAAATAGGCTAACACGGCAAATTTTAACTGTCGTGTTTCAATTACGCATAGTGTAAAATTTTAGCTCAGCCCTCAAGTTGGTCTACTTTGTGCAACTGTATTTTTGATATCTCCCGGTTGTCCATATTGGAAGGTGGTTCAATTAATTCGATTGGTGCCTGGATAGTTCGTAACGCCTTTTAGTTCGATGTGTTTACAGCATGGTCTAACTTTACTCGGGCCCATTTGCCTACAACGAAAGCGGAGGTATGGAGGAGTTCTCTTTGGTTCAATGATAAAATTAAGATTAATGGCAGATGTATTTATTACAAACATTGGTTGAGTAAAGGTGTTAAGTTTATTGGTGATTTAATAAATGAGAATGGTGCTTTTCTTTCTCTAGATGAGTTTAAGAATGTATTTGATGTCAACATCAACTTTTTAGAGTGTGGTAGAGTGTTGAGAGCAATTAAGTTGTCCTTTAGAGAAATCATGTCGGAAAGTTCAGTTATTAACTTCCCATTTTTGCCGTTCAACTTCGAAGTGGTTTTAAAGGACCAGACAGGATCACAAGGGATCTATAATGTTTTAGTGTCTTCTAAACATGTACAAAGAAAATTCATAGATACGTGGAATGTTAAACTGAACATAGATTTTGATTTTTCGAAGTGGTCTTTAATTTTCAATATTCCACATACATGTGCAGTTGACATTAAACTACGTTGGTTCCAATTGAGATTAATACGGCGGATCCTGGGAACTAATTGATTTCTGTCTAAGATTGGTAAGACAGACACCAATCTTTGTACATTCTGTAACGAGGAAGAGGAGACACTTATTCATCTTTTTTGCTCGTGTACTTACACGATCTCTTTCTGGTCATCGGTAATTGTATGGATTAAAGAGAAGACCATTCTGTCTGTTGCAATGGGTAAAGCGTCTTTTTATTTTGCAACACCAATGTTACATGTAATAGTAAAGTGGTTAATTTAATATCATTGATTTGTACATTCAATGTGTATAAAATGAAAATGAATGAAAAACGACCCTCACTTTCTGTCTTAAAAAAGGATGTGAAGAATTATTATTTGATGGAAAAATTCATGTTTTATGGAACTGGAACTAGCTCCCAATTTCACAAGAAATGGGACCAATTAGTCATATTAGGCCAAGGTTAGCAGGTTTTTAATATTATTGAAATTTAAATCTGTATTTCTTGTTTTATAAATTGTCAGCATGGATGTTTAAAAAGACACAGTGAACAATAAAGGAGAATCCCAGAAAAACATTTTTAATCAATGTGCTAAGAAATAGGCAGGCTTTCAGGCAGGCTAAGGGTTGAATTTACTAAAAGTAAACCTGCTCTGAATAAATAAGAATGCATTTGAAACAGATGAAATGACTCAGAAGAGAGAGAAATTTCAAGCCAGACGCGTGACAGAACAACTGCAACGGATCCGTGTAGGGCAGGTCCATCAGCGCGCACGCCACCTTTGCGTGCACGCAGTGTGGCAGGCGACGGTTACACACGATTCGTTACATCACCACTGCGTGTACATAATTATAAGACTTTGACCTCGAAATAACACTTGACAATGAAATACCGATAAGAGAAATCGATGTTGGGACTTCGGTCATGGAAATCTGTGTAAAAGTTCACACAAAGAGGTGCTGATGTAAGCAGGATAATACAAGTCATTAAACTTGGGTGCCACAAGATCTGGGGCATGTGACGAATGAAGAGCCGGAGGTTCGCAACAAGAACGCACAACTTGTATAATACGCGTCAACACTCGCGACAAGCGTGCGTATCTGTCAAAATCTCTCCCAGAGCGATTTTCAATTTGACCACCGAACGCAATAAACACGTGCGTTTTGGGGTCGATTTTGTCTCCTTCAACTTGAAAGCGAAATGCATAAACGCAACGCATCCCCAAAACGTACATGGAAAGGCCCCTTTAAGGAAATCCTGGACACGATGAAGAACACGTGTGTAAATAAATCGCAGTGGTATAAGGCTGTTTCTCGATCATTTGGCCTAGAAAAGATAATCCTGCGTGCACGCAGGGCACAATGGAGGGGTATAAGGTAAGGGGGGCAGAGGAAGAATAGACAGACATCAATGTGGACTGTCCGGGCTGTGGACTGTCAGAGGGCAGTGGGGGATATGAAAAGATGGAGCGAACAGGTTCAGAAGTCTTCAGTGGCACCAACGACATCCCATGCGAAAATGGGATTGATGTAGAAATGGGCCGGCTATGCATCAGTACACACTGAGCCATTCGTATCAAGCGTTTTAAGCTTCAAAAGGCGACATCAACCTAATAAGACTTTGCATTGTTTACACCCATACCTGGTGCAAAACCAGGAAAGTCTACAATGGTCAAAATGGAAACGAGAGGCCAAGACCAGTTTGTTAGTGTTTCAATATTTAAAAAAGTACATGTATCACTTGGATGACTCGAATATTTAACCTAAGAATACTACACCAACCCAATTGTTTTACACAATGTATTGCAATAGCCAAACTATCTTCTTAGTAACGTTTTTATGTAGGCTGATATCCCTGCGGTTCACCAGCCAAGCTATATTTAGTTCTTTCCCTCAATGCTTTTGCACCACTGCAACCGTGAACGATCGAGCCACTTTAACAAACAGTAGATTGGCACATATCTGGCTGATAATTGGACAAATGTAAGCTTCGTATTTGCAGTCTTTACACACCACTGACGAGGCCATGGGCAAGCCAAACTCATCACTGGAAACAGTTGAGTCTACCTGCATAATTATCTAGAATTATAGGTCTCACTAACTTTTCGTCAAAGTGATCGTGGCGACAGGGTAAACCCACAGTAAACGGTGCACACGGAGCCGGATAAACGTCCGCTAGTAGCCTGCCAGAAAGGGTGACCGGTGGTGAAACAACTCGCGTCCAACATAACAACTTGAATTCTCCTTACAAAAACCACTCTTGCTATACCTCGTGATTCGGGCCAAGCTTTTGCTTAGTTACAAAAGCGACGCCTTGCAACAATACACTGTTCCCAATAGATAAGAAGGGCACAAAGGAACCAGTCCATTCTAGAGATGGTGATCGCTTCGCAAAAGCTTGCCCCGAATCACGAGGCACAGCAACAGTGTCTTTAGTCTGGGGAATTCAAATCGTTATGTTTATGTGCAGTCAGAGAGCTCAGTGCACCAGATTTTATTTAACTTTAACTCGCAAATGGCTTATTACGACAACAGTCTCTTTCATTCACAACCTTGAAAAGAACTGGCCTCTTCGTGGTCAAAATACTCCCTCCCCGAACCGCCAATGAGAGGGGGATTTTGTCACTGTCTACACCGTCTCGAAAGCTCTGTCCACGTCCAAGTAATCTTGCTGATCAGTGGGCGGGCCAAACCATCGAGGAGTGTATGGCTGGCCCTCAATGCAAAGGCAAAATAATTCACTGAAAAGTGTTAAAAATATCACGCAGCGAACAAAACTTCAATTAATGACGCCGTTATACTAAGCAGAAAAACAAAGTAGGAGCCTTTTAAAAGTAATGGGTATAAGGTACATACATGTTGAATTTGGGGTCATATCGGACACCAACCCAAGGCAGGGGAGATGGCGCAGTGGTTCTTTCCTCGCCTGCCACCACCGTGGTCCGGGTTCGAATCCTGGCTCTGTGTACTCGTGGATTGGGTTCCATACATAATGCCGTACCTGAGTCTATAGGTTTTACTCGTCGTATTTCTCTGGGGTTTATCCCCCGTGCTTAACACTGCAACAACCTCTCGTTGTCTCATCTCTGCAAGTTTCTTCAGGCTTGCGCAGTGCCCCAAAGGCGCTTTTGAGCAATCTTTATGGTTTCTTAACCAGAAATGATTGATAACGACACAAACCAAGGGCAGTGTTTCTGCAAACTTATTGGCAGATGCATGTAGTGGCATAAAATATCATTGTTGGTGTGTCCAAAGCGTATAGGCAGGCCAATAGCTCCTCAGCCTACCGTCATTGCGTGGGTACGACGACGATTTATGTCAACAATCCGTTTGGTGTAAAATTAGTGGGAAAAAATACATACATTTACCTTCAAGAATGAATGATGCACCACCTGGTATCGCGTGCGTGCTTTCTTTCACATGACACAGTTCCAACAGTTCCACACAGACCTAAATTACTCCGAAGAGTAATCAGTACACGTTGGTCACGTACGCTTCGTGGAAGGTGAACATAGATCTACGCAAAATTACCCATGCACAGTTGGACATGAACCGTACTGGATGCATCCGTGTGACACGTTCAATGTAAGGGTGACCCTTCACCGTAGGTCCATATCCATGACCTCGAGCGTCGGGTTCAAGCACAATTAAAACGACAGAGCTATTAAACTCACTGTTTCTTGCTTCAGAAAAAAATCCCATTAAATCCTTGGCGGTGTTAGTTTCTAATTTAGGTGAAGTTTTCAGTGCTCTGTAAAAAGATCTTACGATCGTAATTTTTCCTGGGCGCATGAGATTGCCCTTTTCTTAGTGTGGCCCCTTCCATCACAATTCAAATTTACCTCCAAGCTTCAATGTAGGCCTACATGTACCAGTACTGTACCCATTAGATTGGCTGTTTTCTACATTTGGGAAATCTGAACAACCCGATCTCTTTCTCTTTGGAATCTGCACTTTGTCTTGTACAACCCCTAACACAACAAATGGATACCGTTTCTTTCGGTAGTACTCCAAGCTATGACCAGGTTCAATGGTACTGTAAGCTGTATTCATGTACGTACAGTACGCTTGTAGGCCTACTTTGAATATCGCGGTTTTTAAAAAATGCAGAGATTGGTTCCAACAACACTATACCACTTATGATAGAAGGGGGCCACACTAAGAAACGACGACCTCGTGCACACAGGAAAAATTTCGATTTTAAAATCTTTTAACGGAGCACTAAAAATTCCATGTAAATGAGAAACTAATACCGTAAGCGATTTAATGGAATTTTCTGAAGAAAAAACTGAACGAGGTCAAAAACCTGAGAGAATGATATCGAAGTCGCATCCGTACATTTCAATATGCCCGCTGACACGTCTTGCCGCTAAGGCCATATGTGCGCATGCGTGCTTAATTATAAATTATTAGTGAAGAGGCCTATGAGGCCTATCCCTACATTCAGGAGCGTAGAATATTTTGGCTCCGGGGGTGCGATTTTCAAGAAAGAGCAACTCCAACTTCCAGCATTTAAACAAGGAAGGCAAGTGCGCACATGAAAAGCAGATTGCTACCGTCCCCTCCCCTCACAATATATATTCTTCTTCAGGTTAGCACTTGACTCAGATCATGACCGTGTTTCTCAACGGCTGATATCCGTCTTGCAGACTGCCGTTGGGTTTAAATATGACCACCTCAAGCGAAACTCCCTTCTGCTGGCGAAGGGGGGGGGTGCGTCCCCCGGCCCCCCCCACCACCACCCTATGCCCTTGACTTTTGTGGCAGGACAGGTAATTGTAGCACCCATCTTGTCAGGACTTCAGAATTTATGAAAATGTGTACACTGAGTAACATTGAAAAATTCTTCCTGGTTGATCCACAACAGCTTTTCTGAATCTATCAACTGTACGCTAAGGGTCCAGGGAACAACAGCAACCCTCTATCTGTAGCCTTTATTGACCTATAATTACTGATTAAAGCTTTTGACCCGATCACTACTGTTGTGCAAAAGGCTGGATATCCCGACTCTCTGCAGCTGCTTGCTGTCACGATTTCATGACGGCATGGCAAGCCTGGCAGGTAGGCCTACATTTTGGTGGTGACACCTTGAAACAAGGTTGCGTTCTCGCTCCTACCTTTTCTGTATAGAGCATTTCAAAAATCTGTCAGCCGAAAGTCCAGGAGTTTGCTGTCAGAAAGTTCCAATACACAGATGATGTACGCCATTAAGTTCATGCAGCTTCCGCGAGTTAGCTACATCGCCTCTCCTGTTCATAATACAAGACGTTTGGGCTATCAGCCTGAAGGAAACTGTTGTTATGGCCCAGTCTGCAACCTACCCACCCACCATTTACCTACCAACACTAGTATTGAGTATACCAACCACTCCCTTGATAACGAAATGTCAACAGGGCTTTGGAGGGCTGCTACTGTCCTTGGCCGTGACTGAACTCGTTTAGAGGAAGTCACTTCCAAGCTCAGCGCTGAGAGCGTATTCAGTGTGCTGCCCTACGCGTGCTAATGTTGGTTGACCTATCGCCGCCGAGAAAGCACACTCAGTGAATTTCATACACAAGATGTCTCCGGCTTATCGTGAGCATAATTAAGACAGGATGACTGCTCGATACAAATCCCAGCTCCTATCTCCCATGTAAAATGCAACAGACCCAGACATCCGATGTTGCAATGCACAGGAGGGGTGCAGACCCCGAGGATGACGTAGACTTCGATTCGAAGATGTCCTGAAGCGGGATCAATCTGACATCAGGATACGCTCATGGTCAACAGTGGCGCTAAACAGACGTTTGGAGGGTCTTCCTTGATGATCGCAGGTTGTCAGACTAGAGGAAGATCAAGAAACTGGAATATGACAACGTTTAATTAAAACACTCGATCCACAGTCGATGATTGATGCTTGCCTCTTAGCATTGTCAGAAAGGACTCGGACGCTGGCCGCACCTCTACTTTTTGAGTCCGGGCGTAAGAACTTAGGCCTATAGGTCCATGGGGTTGGATCATTGGATCGACGCCACGTGTCTTTATCAAGTGGCTCGTGGTCATATCCAAGTAGATGGCCAACACTATGAAAAGACCAATGTTAGAAAAGCAAGTATCGAATCCTTCGATCGCCTCAAAAACTTATGGCTGCAATTCAATGTCCGTGGTTTTCAATCATTCATTTTTTCATGCTGAAAAAAGCTTTAGAGAACCTAGGTCGTATTCCCAAAGAAAAAAAAAACCATTTCTACCGGCAATCGCCTCGGGAAATCAGTGAATACAGGCTGATATATGTTTAGTTTCATTTTATGCAGGTCCTCTTGGGAACATCCAGACTAGGTAATGTAAATGAAATTTGGGCTATGCGTACCCACAATCAAGGGTGATAAAGCGGAAGCTCGTACGAAACGTCCTGTTAATAATAATACAGGTATAGTGATACCGAATTAACTGGAACCCCGGCTGGGTCAATTCGCACCCGAGTTAACTCGTATATCCAGCTTAGCCCTTACATGGGTCAAACTTTTGTGCCACAGATGTAACGAGTCACTACTGTTTGTGACTTAATTCAAGTCATAACAGGCAAAATAGTCGAATCGTACTTAGCTCAATTCAGTTTTGAGTCACAAATATTTGAACACACAATGGGATAATAAACCATGAGAGGAAGTCTTTTTTGGGGCATTTTAAATTCAGGCCTATCTCGGGGTCACTAAATTGTGGTCCTAAAACATCTTACTTGTGATGATAACGCATGACATGAACATTAAAAACCCGCACTGCAAGTCATTGTAAATATTTTTTTCAGTAGAGAGGTTTTCTTCAGCTTTTGGGATCGACCCGACAGTATTATGAACTTTCACTCGAGTCGGGTCTTTTGAGGAAGCCTGGAATTGAGTCATTCGCTCCGAGTGACTCGATTCAAATTCAGTCATTTAACCCGTCGGGACTCGAGTCACGTTGCCGAAACTGTGACCCAATTCAAGTGGAACTCGAGTCGAGTCACTGACCTGTGTCATTACAGGTTCTGATTAATACTCGCTAGTCGCGGGGCATGTGGTTTTGTGTAAAAAGGAAGAGGTTGCCGCTGTCCAAGTCAGTGACACTTCCTTTCTAGTGACTTGTGAGGCTTACCGGTTGAACAAAAATAGTCCAAGCCAGTTATGTCCGGTACAGTGGGGTTGATGATGGGCGGATATATGACCTGAGACCAAAAGCTGGTAATATTTGTTTATCCTTGTGTCAGTAAGAACATGCTTTTGTGCCTAGTGGCTTTATACCAGAGAAACAGCTTCATTGTTGTTGACTTCTCGTAATTTCTTTATTGAATTTCCTTCTTGCCGTCTTTCGCTTGGGATAGATGGACAGNTAATATACTTCGGGGTATGGGGTTATTTTCCGGAATATAGATAGTATATACAGAACCAATGCTTAGCAACGAAGATGTGGTGATCTTGAAATGACCGTTTGATTTGTTCAGCCTCGAGATTTAATACGGATGTTTCCTCTTTACGCCTCTGGCTTGACGGTTATGCCAAGAAACCGAACAGGTGTTGGGCTGTGATGTGGTCATGGTCTTGGAAGGATGGATGCCAGTACATACGATGAGCCCTACCGATCACCCGGCGCCCGCACCAAGATGTACAGGGTTTAATTCCGGAGCCAATTCAGATCATGGATAAAAAAACGAGACTGAAGCAGTCAGACCGTCCGCACGGCGAGCGGAGAGGGGAAGGGTGTGGCTGGGGCCTTTAACAAGCCTCTGTATGCACCCCCTATCGGAAACAAACGTATCCGAATTATCTATTGTTCTGTGATTTCCCCCCCAGCTGGTAGAGTGCCCCGCCCATACCCAAAGATGGTGACGGGGTTGAAAGCACCTAATGCTCTGGCCGTTATCGTTTCTATGGAGAATTTGTTTTTTTGAAAGAAAAGCTAACTGAACCGTAGGTACTGCTAAGTCCCCAAACACCTGTCGTATACAGTGCATGCATGCGTGGTGCAGCAAGACTGATAAAAAAATGGACGATGAGTAAGATTTGAAGCTTTGCACGGTGGAAGAGACATGAGAAATGGGTTTGCGGGTACACCATGGAATCAATCTCTTTGGGGCGAGGTGTGGTTCTTAAAAGAACCCAGCTATCCACTCCAGTCCGGCACACTCTCCCGAGGACGGCCAGAGCACACTGGCCGAAGCGTCAAGTTAACACTCACCGGTTCTTTTAAGAACCACACCTCGCCCAAAAGAGATCGATTCCATGGTGTAACCGGAAACCCGTTTCTCACCTGAATGATGCGTGTGTGCACATTTACATTCGCGCATTGACACACCCAATAGCGCTGAGACATGGGTATCACGAGCTATTTGGGGGGCAAATTCACGGTCAATGAACCCTCCTCCGACAAAATGCACGACTGCATTCATGTCTTGGACGTCGAGCAATAGTGGAGGAAGGGACCACAACTGACTAACGCCCAAGATTTTCGAATGCCAACAAATCATTACGTAATAAAGCGTCTTCCACAATGTCGAAGTATTAACTAAACAGAAACGATATTGGTCCGCAACCGGACGTGCATTCTACATACCCCCCCCCCCTTCAAGCTCTCAGGAGCAGATTCCAAACGTTCGAGTGTATCTTTCTCTTTATTTCCAGTGAGCGATAAAACTGTACGAACAAACTTCGGTAATATTGGAAATTTGATAATTTGAAATTAAGAATGTCATTAAACCGCAATATCCTTGCAAGAAATTGCCACATGTGATAAGACCCGTTCCACATGAACATGTCAACGTCGACCAGCCATTTTGGCAAGGCCAAAGATGCACAGAAATCAATTGTTGTACTTATAAATCTTGACCAACACAACATTAGTTCCACAATCTGTAAATATAAAAATACATTTTAAATTAATATATACATTAGAAGTTGCTGTTCTTCAATTGTTGCAACGCCACAAGAATGAGTCACTTTACACCACAAGGGCAAAGCTACAAACCACAGAGCGTCGATAAGAACGTCATCATACATCGGTTTGGGACAAATTTCCATCGGTGCAATTGGACTGGTAGGTATATTGCTCCTTAGTTTTAAGTTCGAGTTTATTCTTGTTTATAACAAAGATACCATAAAGAAGGTGCAACCACGACTGTAGCTGCACAGAATTTCAAAATGATGCTCGCTCTTAAGACACATGGATGGTTTCATTTGGAAATGTGCCTGCGGGGCCCAAGTGCCTTGGAATTGTTTTGTCTCAATGGGTTATTCCCCCGTCAACAGCGCTATCGGGCACCAAGTACAGTTTCTGTTGTCCTGATTGTTTTTTTAGGTGACATTTAGTCAGAATTCATATCATCCTCCCAATGACCAATCCAAGACAAGGCCTGTATTTAAGAAAGGATTTACGTGTGCAATAGTAAGGTATTCAGGTGTTGTGTAAAATCTATTACAAACCCCCTCTTTCCTTGCCTGCTCAAGTATGCCCCCGTAGTCTCATGAGGGCATCACGAGAGGACCCAAGGGAGGCAGTTACACCCCCATCCCCAGACGACTTAAACAGTGGAAAACACAAAGGGAAACAAAGGGGGGAGAAAGACATGAAAAGAGAGAGAAGAAATTGAAATCATTAATTTGCTTGAAAAAAAAAAACTTGAAATTAATGCCTATCCCACAGTCGTTTATTATTCAGTAACTAATGAGTGCTTTCAATTCCCCAAGAAATCTCTCCTCCCCAAAAAATGTGGCTCCCCCCAATAAAATCCTGGCAACACCCATGTAGCAGGCCCCCTATGTATGCAGGTGCTGGACAGAATTCAGGCTTTGTCAAAACCAACTAGCTGTGGCTGACAGTATCATATGCCTCTATGGCAACGAGCCGCAGCCGTAAGGTAGTGGCTTCCCATAGGTGCATACATTATTTCTAGCCACAGCCACACTTGTAAGTCATCAGAGGCTAGAAGCGAGTTAGCTTGACAGGGAAGTTCTCTGTGATCAGGTGGTCATCTTGCAGGACGATGACCAGGTTGATTTCAAATTCTGAAAAGGAAGTCAGACACAAGGTTGCCTTGAGTAATCTTCAACAAGCATGAGTTGTAAAGACACCATCTGCCAATGGTTCAGAGACAAACTTGAGTTCTTTGGTGGTGAATATTTGCACAGTTAATAAGTTTCAAACCTGCAGATATTTCCATCTAGATTTCAATGTTACAATCATATCTTATATACATGTGCAACATGCTATGTGGTTCATGACTAGCAGGGGCTGATCCAGAAATTTTTCCAGGGGGGTTGAGACTGGAGTTTTTTTTAATGTTTCATTTTTGTAGACAAGCAGAAATGATGATGAAACATTATTCACGTCATACACTGTTTACAATGGTATCGGTGCACTTATACTGTAGTTAATTTTATTATTTTCCCCATATCTTTTTGCTATTTTTGTCTCAGAGCAGGACGGGGGGTGCTTTGACCACTCCTACACCCCTCTAGATCTGCAACTGACTCATCTCAAACATACTGCACATCAAGGGCCTAGGTTGTGTAATTTGTGTCCATGCAGCCCTCTGCATCCTATTTAACCCGACTCAATTTTTTTGGGTGGCATTTTTAAGGGCAGTTTTGGTACCATTTTGATGTCCATGCTAATGTGCATTTGCATATTCATGAAGAAGAGTGTGATGTCATGAAACTTCGAAGGTTACAACTATTTCTGCACTATAATGTGCCTCAGAAATTGATATTTTCTTGTCACAAATTTTGTTTCATTTGTTGATTTGTCATTTCTTGAATTCATGACTGTCAGCCTGTGACTGAAGTTTTTCTCACAAATATTTGGGGTAAAATTTTTTATTTTAAAATTTTGGGTCCATAATTTAAACAAGATATCCCCAAAATGAACAGTATCTTACTGTCATGACTACATAGAAACAGCACAGCAGAGTCATTTATTAGGAAAGCCATGAAAAACTTTTTTTTAAAACGGTTAAAAATGCTTAAAAAGGCATTTTTTTTACTGAAACCTAAGTTATACAGCTTTCCCTAAATTTGAGATGAGCAGAAAGTAGCACAAACTCCTTTCCATGAAAACTTCATATTATCAGGCTGGACCCTTTGAAGTGCCAGAGTGAGCCGCCTTACCGACTTTGAAGTTACTCGTGGCTAGCGTTGGGCAAGTGAAGAGCCGGGGGAAGACCATGTACATCGGGATAGTGATCCCTCGACAAACATCGCCCTCGCCGATCTGGATGTTCTGGATCTCCGTTGCTAAGGCAGAAGATTTTATACAGGGGAGAAAAACATGACTTTGTGAAAGAAAATGCCGATGGTAACCAGGGTTTTGTTAGCACGTTGCAAATTGGCATTTTCATTCTTTTCTACACATTTTCACCATCCCTTTTTTTAAAATTCTGTCTCGATTTTGCTTAATTAGTGTCATTACTTTGCTGCTAAAATCCTCAGCCTACTGCAATCTTGCCAACCTGCAACTCCCCGGCTATGCATAGACTTGCTTCCATAACTTACATTTTACATATAATAAGGCACCCTGGGATGAACGCTCAGGAAAGCGCTAGTCTGGGCTCCTTGCACCAAACTGATGTTTTACAACCAACTTGTGGAATGGTGTAACTCTGTCCGAGCAGAATTGGCCGAGATAATGAGGCAAAAGCAAGTTAGCAATGTGATGACAAGAGACTGTCAGAATCATGTGATATTGGTGGAGAAAACTGAACTGATGCTGCGCATATTTAATCAGGTGCAGTATTTGCCCCACAAAAAAACGGTTCCCAGCCAAAATGTCATTTATCATGTATTAATTGCTTATCACTGGTTCTCTGTTGATTTCTACTGAGCACATCCAAATTACTTGGCTACGGCTTAAAACTATGCACGACTCAGTAGGAAATGGCTTTGGCTGCTATCACAGACTTGTACGTAATCTCTAGCCGCAGCCAAGTAATTCGGATACAGGAATACTTTCTTGAACAGCATGCTAGGGAAATATGGGACCGGGGGACCTTACCATCCCTAGCGTAGCCCTCTGCACACCCACATGTCTCTACTCGTACCAGCTGTATCTCCACTGACTTGATGGGTGCGTCGCAGTACTCGATGACCACCGTACCGGTCAGGGGGTTCTTAATGCAGCAGATGGCTGAGTCTAGCTTACCCTTAATGCTGAAGCGGGGCAGGCCACCTTTCTGTAAAACAAGAAAAGATCGCAATAGCTGTAGCCACGCTTCACGCTGGATGGTGTGTAAGCAGGCAGGGGTTGTCTGTGTCAGTTAAACCCAAGCGGAGATGCAAGCACATCCTGGCAGTTGCATGTGCCGTAACCTATGACATCTCTCCACCATGAGCAGAAGCACCCCCTCATTGGTTGAAAAGAGCCGTGTTGGTGGGGAGTGTTCATTTTGTTAGTTGCAATGCAAGCAAAACGAGTGCATTTCTAGTCGTTCGTGAACCAGCAAAGTGCAGTTCCAACCAAAAGAGCCTCCGTTGCTAGGAAAATTGCGCCCTCTCTTGGTCCAGCTCGGGGCGCATATTCGTCCTAAGCTCAAGTTATTTCTTTTGTGTGTGTACACACACAAAGGCTCAAACAAATCAAGGAAGGTGGCAGTGTGTGAGGCTCTCAAGTGTCCTCTGTGCCATGGCTGAGCTTTGTTGCAACTAACACTCCCAGAAAGTGTCTGGGATTATCTGTGTCAGCACAGTCAGTAAATGAGCAGTTTGGACGCCATGTGCAACCGAAAACAATGCATGAAATCCAATGAAAATGCACTCTCTTTGAATTGAACACAGGATTTTTCTGGTATCAAATTTTTGACAGAAAAAGTGATTTCATCTCATTTATGTATGCCATGCTTGTGATTTGCACATTATGTGAATCACCCATTTGGAGCAGGCCCAAGTTTTTTTGCCTATGACAAACTCCGGTCGAAACTCACTGGTTTTGGATCCAGCAGTTTGCATTCCAATGTTTTTTTGAATCAAAACTTAATGAAGTGGGAACAGGTGGTTGGCGATGGTGCCAGGGTGATTGTTAATCTTATAATTGCTTACTGCTTATCAAGTCAGGATGTGAAACTGGTGTTTCACGTAACTATGCATTTAGAGTACATCTTTCGGAATTCGTTCCAGTTTATTCACTGTGTTCTACAAACACACATGCCTGTGCTCAAGACGGCGTTCAAGTCTCTCCTCGCAGGGAATACCCTAACCCTGCAGTATACGTGGGCTGGAAACCCTGCCAGATGCATCAGACTGCTTCGTTTGTCAACGTGGCTTGGCTGCAGGCGAGATCCAACAGGCCAGTCCTCCCCAAGGCCAGACAGCCTGGGAGTCTGTGGTTGCCAGTCACCACAAGATCCAACAGTGGCATTTTCCAATGGGACTAGCTCCCATTTTCTCAACATAGCCAGGATGTGCAGCTGCTGTTCATTGCCCAGTGTAACAAAGTGCACCAGACTGTTTCATACATACATGTAGTAGACTTTTGCTGCATCCCGTAGGGTCATTGACAATACAGCTCTAAGGTATACTTACATCTTTGATGTTCTGTAAGGACTCGGGCGTGATGGCAAACGGCACCGGCTTAGGCTGCGCCTTCTCCTTCGGGTCCTTGTACTCTACGATGAACTCAATGGACTTGGTCAGGTCCTTGGCCAATAGAGGGCGCTTCAGCTCCCCCTTGATGGTGTACTGCAGAGTTGATGCAAGTGAATGCTGGTTTATAGTACATGCATGTGACTCATTGCAATCTGCACATCCACACATGAAGACACAGTTTAATTGCTATGTGCTGTTGTTTAAGAGGGTCAGATTGACTGGGGTTTGAAGAAATATGACTTCAGTCTCCAAGACTTGTGACTTTTTTCTATCACCACATTACTGCTGCATTACTACTGAATTTTTTTTTTAATTCATGATCCAAAATATATGTAGCACTATGCCACCATGACTAAAGTCCAGAATTTGTCCCGGCCCTAATCCCCTTGCGTGTGCGAAAAGATTTATATTGAAATACACGTACCAGGATTCGTACTGGCATCTTGCACTCTGACCCTTCATTCCAAACCCCCAAGCATTTGTTTTTGCTCGAAACCAGAAAATAATATACACATTAAAACAGTGAGTAAACTGACTAGGTACTGAAAATTGAGCTTTTGAGTGATGTCTTGAACCCAACCAGAAAGACATCAGATAATGGAGTCACTTTAGATTTTCTGTTCTACCTGAATGTTGACAAACACTCCATGGTAGGTCTCGTACAGGGTCTTATTGGCCTTGGGCTTCAGGGGAAGCTCAAATGGGATCTCTGTCTTTCCGGCTGGAATCTTGCCCGGTTTGGCGACGCTAACCACGTAATTCAGGAGCTGTATGGGCTGGAAATATTACACAGAAATAAAAAACAGACATTTTTTTAAAGTTTCTGAAATACTTCAGTATGTGAGACTGTGACCTTCAGTTTTGGAAACCACAGAAAAATAAAATCAGGATAGCCTTACTCACTCAGCTAACAACATTCTCCAAATCTTCTACGGCAGATCAAGGGGGAAGCAAAATTTTCTTTTTAGAACTCCACAAACCTCCACCTTAGAACTTGTGCACAAAGTCAACGGGGCCATGACAATCCAGTATTTTCAAAGAGAACTTGAAGTATTTTTTTACTCCTTCATTAGTGTTTCCACACCACATTTTCACTTTTCAAATAGTTTTCAAGTCTAAAGGAAGATGAGTGGAGGTTAGTTATGGAACTATTTCTGGCAAGGCTCTCTGTTGCTTCACAACATTGGTTTCATCCGACGGTGCCATGAACTTGAAAAGTGGAAAGGGACGTAATAGCCGTATTTTACATTTCAAATCATGAGATACAGTAACAAGAGAACAGTTATGCTTGGGACCTGGTGCTAATCAAATTCCAATGAACTCGGACAAACCTATTGGTTTTTGTTCCTCCCACGCTATCCATATAACTGAAAATGTACATATAGATTCATATATGTGACTGACACAATAACTGGACTTGATCGACGTGGTACATGTACATGAGTCTGTGACCAGACGTGTCACCAGTTGCAATCCTGGTCAAATCTCATTGGGTTCCCCACCCCCTGCCCCCCCCTTTCAATACGCACACAGTCTGCACTCCAGCTCGAGAAGACAACATTGACTGGGGGAGTGGGAAGCCTGCAAAGGGTCTGGCTATCGAAACGTGTCCAAACAGTTTTGTCCACAATTGCACACTCCACACGGGACCTGTGGTGAACTTTTCACTGGGCTAGTCATCAGACAGTCCTGAAGTGTGGCCCAACGTAGGAGTCTTTCATGTACATGACAGACTCGAACACACCACTAACTCTTAACCCTAACTGCCCAAAACGTGCCATACTCCAACAGCAGGTTTTGCGAGGTTTTGTCAGGTTTGGTACCATACCTGAGGAACTTGTTGTTGAATTTTGTGAGACTTGGGATGAAAGGCCCAGGGAAATGGTGTTGGATTCTGTGTGAGTTGGGACACACACGGGTCACTGTGTGCAGTGTCTGGCTTGCTGTACCAATTGTTGGACTGTGCTTGATTTTGTCAGGTTTGATACTGTTCAGTACAAGTCATCCTATACTGCATAGACCCATCCATACCATATCACTCAAACTCCAACGGGCTCATTCTGTTGGAGTTTATCAGGTTTGGTACACTAACCTGAATGTACAAGTACATAGACAAGTACATGAACCTGTTGGATTTTGTGAGGTTCAGTATGCTGTCTAGTGCAGGAGCCTAGGGGGTTAGGGTTAATACCCTCCTGGATCCACTAAAATCCTCCAGGAGGTTTTGGGGAGGTTCAGAGGATGGAGGAAGACTGGCCAAAAGAACTGGTTGATTGTGAAGGATGCACAGTGCCAAGGCTGCGGGAGAGACCTTGTGTTGTTTATACTTGGCCATGCCTAAGTTCATGCTCTCATCATACATGTATGAAATTCTCCACACTGCTCCAGGATACCAATTGACAGGAATTGCCGGAGGGTTTTTGAAGGATTGTGGAGGGTACCTAGCAAAAAGACCTTGGAGGGTTAAGGCTAAAACACAACTTCAAGTCTTACTCGCCTCGTATCTATTACTTCTTGCCATGTGATTCCTAAACCTATAGTCTTACCTTGATTGAGTTGTAGAAAGCCTCAAACAGCCCAACGTTCTTCGAGCTCAGCTGTAGGTTGACCGAGCCATCCACCACCAGCGTGATGCCCTGATGCTGGACATCCGACTTACTTTGTACAACCACTAATCCTGCTAGCACATCCTGTATATTGTACACGTATATTTGTAAGACAGAAAAAAAACACACTCAAATATCCCCGGTAGTCAATAACAAAACAGATCCAGTGGTGTATTAAAGCACTTCTTTCTGAATACCAGGTACTGCCAAGTACTTGGACTGCTGGTTACCATTCAAGTCCAAGTGAACTGTACAAATACTTTGCCAACTTGTGAGTACAAGTACTTTAGCTTCCAATAACTTATTAAATTACAAACACAAAAACACACAAAGACAGACAAAACAAGTAAACACGTACATGTAGCTGCAAGTTTGTGTAGCCTGAAACCAGCACAGTATGTTAAATTAAGATACAAGAGTTAATTGCCCAAAACACAGAAATACGTGTATGTACTAATTACGAATATGTATTTAACAAAGAGATCTTATATTTCTTTTTGAAAGCTGACAGAGTATTTAAATTTCTAAGTGAATCTGATAATGAATTGCACAACTTGGGTCCCTCATATTTAACAGTTCTTTGGGCAAGGAGAGTACAGGTTTGTGAGAGGGGAAATAAGTATGAAGAGAAGCCTGAGTGCTCGTATTTGGTACGCCAGTTCTTCTGAGTATGAGTTCTTGTCCGAGTGCACTGTGCTTGGAGCTGATGAAAATTATGTGTGAATTACACGGTGATAAAAACTACCAATAGTCTTTGTAAACGTTTGTCAACAATTTAAAACTATTTCTTTTTATCAACAACAGCAGTCCCAAATCTGTTTTTCAAGAAAATACTACACAGTGGACATGCAGACATGAAAGTTGACATCCAGTAAATCAAATTTACAGTGCATCTACATGTACACAGGTGAGGAAAAGTCCGTCATGCACATCAGGTATTTTGGGCTCATTCCTCAGACTGAAATTTAGTGCAAAACAGAAGTACAATGAGCATTCAAATGGCTGAGAAAAGATGTTACCTTCAAATTCCGTTCTTACCACTTTAAATTTCCACTTTAAAAGCGAAGCTGTGTCATGTCGTTTGGTGCGCCAATCGTGCCAATATCTATTCTACCGGTTCATGTGCAGAAACTAAAAGTACAATTCCTTCCCAAATATTTCTCCCCTACATGTAACTTGTTATGTCTCCATGTACTTGTACAAAAAGTTGTAGGCCTAAAAAACTAATGGAAAAAACCCCCACACACACAAGTTGTGAATGTGAGCCCGTGCTGTATGTGACGTCATGGTTGTGGCCAGTGTTGGTTCCATTTTCATGATTTTTGCACAATATGATGTTCTGAAATCTGTACAACCATGACAGCAGCCAATAAAGAAGACATACTTCATTCGAACAACTCTCAAGGGCACAAATTATTCAAATGCCCTTAACCAATGCTTGATTTAGTAAAGACTATTTACTTCACTTGCAAAATGACGACTTGCCATGGCGTGGCTGCTGAGCATGTGAGGTGTAATGCTGGGTATGATTGGTCGGGCGATATCAGAAATTAGCAAACTGTTGCATACATTAGAAAAGAACTAAGACAAATATTTACCCCCTCGTAGTATATCTTATTGACTTTCTTCAGCCGAATGTCGAGAAATGCCATTTTCAGATAGCTAGTCACCCCTTGCGCACATCCACACCGCCCCTACATGTAGCTGATTATTCATCTTGTTAAGCTTGAATTGCGCCCTCTAGCATGTCTCTAGCGCACATGCAAAAAAAGATCTGTTCTAAATAGATCCGAAGGTCTGCGACATCTTTAGAGCGAAAGCTTGTCAACTTATCTATCATGAAGGGCCATTATTTAATTGAAAACGAATACCATTTTTGTTTTTGATACCTAAGAATAAAATTGACAACAATGGAAAGGTTCATTACAGATTAATTTCATTTCCGACGATTCATAATTTAAAATTTTGCGATTCATTACATAATATGTTTTAAGTGCTATTGAATGAAATGAAAGTGGGGCATTGAATTGAAAGTGGTCCGGCACCACCCTTTTGATTATTGATTACAGTAAAAAGATATACTCAGGGAACATGATCAAAAATGAATAAGGACTATTGGTTCAGTTCTTGGAAATAATCAACATTGTGGCCATTCAAATGCCAAATTAGGTCTTTTAATATGTTTGTTTGGGTGTCAAACTGCTGTTTCTTTCTAACAGATTTTCAATGGTTCTTTATGTCATTTTGCTGAAATCTTGCGTTGCTAATGCAAAATGCAATGGAATGTAATTTTTTAAAAGTGGTTCAATGATGTTTCAATGCCAAGCATCTTCCGCAGATGTTTCCTTGTTTTAAAGCAACCAATTTTTTTTTCTTATCATAAAAATCAAATACAATTGAGGGGATTGATATGTGCGTGAATTAAATTGAAAGGAAAGAAGTTCTGCAGTCGTCATCCATTTTATCAATCCAGCAGCGGCGTAGGCAGGATTTTGAGCANGAGGGGGGGTCGACTCGGAGCACTAAGGGGCGGGGGTGTGGGACATGTATACACGTACATGTACATATTCGTGAACATTATGAACTAGGAACGTGGGTTGGAAAAAAATCAGTTTTCGAAATGCAAGTGGGGGGCGACTACTCCTCCCCCTGAGCCACGCCGCTGCTGAAGAAAACTCATGCATGGAAATGATGGCTATCACGTAATCAGAGTGCACCTCTAATTTTCTGTTACAAGGTATCCGAAAAACAGCACACGTGTACGAAATAGCAAGATGGCGGCGACCACTGAAGACAACTTTAAGTTTGGGTTGGACATTCATTTCGCCCAACGACTAGCAGGAAATGTCACAAAGATACGAGAGAGGACAGTAAAAAAACTGAAGAGATGGATTGCCGCTCGATCTCTGAAACTTGGAGGTAAACACTGAGTATTTTTTGTCTGAACAGTACAGGGAAAATGCGGTACATGATAAGGGGCTCGGACAGCTTGGCGCGGCCCGTCGCCGTGTTTGTTTGCCAGCCATGCCAACTTGACTCGGGACATCTCGACCATGGAGACAACTCGACTGGTTGGATTAGTGGTCAGTTGTCGTAGTGGGCTTGCGCTTCACAGTTACATCGCTAGGAAGGCTAATATTTTTTTAGTATTTTTTTCTTTTTAGTGTTTGGTTTGAACTAATATTGAAAGTTCAAGAGAATACTCAAGTACATGTCATTTTAACCTAGTAGGCTGTTTTAAGTTTTGATTCCACTGGACTCTGCAAAGCACAGCAAAATTAATTTGAAGGAGGGATATTTTACAGTGGTTCAGGATGATATTTGTACACTTGTAATTCATGGTAATGCAGAGCAAACTGAATGTGACTAGGCCTATTTTGTATAGGGCCTACCCCCAGAACTATTTTTTACACAAAAATGAGTGTGGGTTTTGATTGGAAAGATTAAATGTTCATAGGCTTGATTTGGTAAATGAACTAAAATCGTTGTTCTTATTTGGGCCTTATTTCAATGAATGAAATGCTGGTGTTGAACACTTAAAATTTAAAAAGTTCTGAAATTACATAGAGGAGCTACATGTTCAAGGTGTGGAAAAAGACAATTTTTAATCACAATTTCCTGTTAAGAAAATGAGATCCCAAATGTTGGGGCAGCCAACACAATGCATGCTGTATCACCAGGTCCGTGTGCAAGTCATAGCTGGCGAGTCCAGTTGCAGTGTTGCAATGTAAGGCAACACATCCAAATTTGCACAAAAACATCCATTTGCAATCTTTGTTAAATGGCCCGCACTCCATCTTGTTCAGGCCTTCAATGGATGACTGGGTAAACTGTAAACGGTGGAATTTTCCCACAGCCATGTTGTCTCAACGGTCGAGTTGTTCCAAGTCAAGTGGGTACATGAAAATGGTCAGTTGAGCCGTCAGACATCCCACACCACAACTCGGACACTGTCCTCAAACCCGGAGAAGCCTCTTTATTCGGGGACAAAATCAGTCCCCCTGAAAGAAAGAGTGTCGCCCAAAATCTGGACAGTTTTTTTCTAGTGGTCTTGGGGACCTACATGTACCACTGCCATATATGTACATAATTGAATTCAGCAGAAAAGAACACCCTAAGCTACCGTTTAAAAACTTCTACCATTTTCTTCTGAGATTACAAGCAGGAGTCTGCAATCATGGCAGTGGAACTTACATGTACGTGTACAAAAATGCGTGTAAAGGATGGGTGAGAGACTGCATCAGAACAAATTTTCCAAGTATTGGTAAAATCTTTTTACTTCTTTTTTAAAAAGAATGATGGAAAGAGATCAAGTAAATTATGTACCTACCTGTACGGTAAAAATTAAATAACTTATATGAACGGAAAATACATGTGCTTGGCAACAAAAATTGATAAAAGTTACACGTAGCATGTAGCATGTGGGTTTCTTTAATCCAAGCCCACTGGGGAGAGAAATGCCTCTCATTTAGGGGACTTGTGTCTCCCAAGAAAAGGGCTTCATGGTCTCTGAGTTACGATTTGTGTCTCAATCCTGAGATTGTCCAGACATCACCAGGATCACCACTTCTATGACTACACATACTTGACACCCTTTGAGACTGGTCTAAAAAAAAAACCTGTTTTCTAAGAAAATGCTTTAATAAATATCCCAGCTAAATTTGCCTTTTTAGAACATGGTCATCATTTTTTTTCTGATGGCTAAACCATGAACCAGTGGCACTGTTCCACAGATGTGCGTACATGTACATGTGTAGAGGCCAAAGATAAGGAGAAATAAAGACCAGGTGACTGGCTCTAGTCTGGGACTTAATTCCGCCGTCTTTGTCCGATATTGGCACACATACCGAGTACCCCACATGTAAAAGAAATCAAAGAAAGAGCAACAGATATCCAATGCTGGCTTTTGTTGCAAATTGTTCGATTTTCTGATCCTTTGCTGTTCAGATGTTGGCATGGAGCCAGAGCTCATGCGGCTGTGGAAGGGGCTCTTCTACTGCATGTGGATGTGCGATAAGCCTGTCATCCAGGAAGAGATGGCTGATAAAATCGCTGACCTTGTTCACAGCTTCACAACACCACAGGGATGTAAGCACTCCAAAACAAGTTGAGAAATTCTGTTAAATGAACAGAGTAGAACCTGTTAAAATTTATGCATGTACCTGGGTACTTCCAGAAATTACAGGTCCATTTTTTTTCATGTCACCGTCACATCTGACGTGATTTTTTTAAATTGAGAACACATTTTCTATTTTCCAAGAGTCATGAATTAACCCTCCTTTGGTTTTACAGCAGAAATGTCACAGTCACTGGTGAGCATGTATTTTTTATATGGAACTCAAACATGCACAGGTTCAGTGTGT